AACTATACAAAATATACGTATTCAAACATCCATTTCGGCGTTATGCATATCTGAATAGCAATCAGTCATACGATATAAATGAAGTCAGATCTCGGGCAACCAAATCGGTTAGCCCGTCTACAACATGGTTCGATATTATTGGAGTCACATAAAGGGCCGCTAAATGTTTACTCTAAAATTTATTGCTACTATATAATTTATTAAGTAGATGATCTATTTTTGAAAAATAATCTTGGCCCATTATTGACATATTTTTTTTAAAATGAGATATTTTGTTTTCAAACTGTTATCGGATTATCTCAGTGAAGATACTGTTTCAGTTTCTTACATTTATTTGCTAAGTTTTAAAAATGGAGGAATACACACTGTAACTGTTCTATAAGCATAAATCAGTCATCAACAACGTAGAAATTCGTACGTACGAATATCAGTGCGAGTTGCCATACCGCATTAGCACACAAATACAATTGTAGATTCAAATCCCATTGTGGTAGAGGTAGTAAGAGTATAAGCAGTGATCGGGAACATTAGGGTTATAAGATGTTATTCAACGAGTGTAATCCAGTGAAATGCATTTGGAAAGAGAAAAACGGACATGAAGAATTTAGATTAGAATTTAGGGGAACACAAAGAGTGGATGCATCTGCAACATTGCAAATAACTTTGAGCCATGTCATTAAAAGTCTCTAACCATCGGTTGCTATTGTCTCGCTGATCCAAACCAGGTAGTCTACACCTACCAACATGGCTCACACAGTCCACTTGTCAGTGACTTCATGGATTTATTCCGTGTTTCGATCTCGTCGCCTCTAGCTTTCTTGCATCCTACTCTTACACTATAAAACATCGCTCGTCTGAGCAGTCTAAAGTTGGTCATACGTAACACGTGTCCAAACCATCTCAACCAATGAAGTTTCATTACCTCATAAATTGATTTGCCAGAAATGTTTTATTTATTCTTAACGAAAAAATCTCAGTTCAGAGTATGAAATCATCACTAATCACTAATCTCTGTTATCCTTACTAACAAAGAAACAGTCTGACAATTGGGAATAATTAAGTCAAGAATTAAGACATTCTAGTATAGTAATTACTTAAGATAAACAATCTAACTATGTGAATTACGCAAATGTATGTTCTATTATCAATGATCTTCTGTTTATATTAAATCAAAGTTTATGTGTAGTTTTTGATTGAGATCATAAACCGCTTAATGTTAGACCACCATTGAAAGCCTGGAAGCACTGGACGGCCGTTCCGTCCTATTGAGCGACTCCTCAGCAGTGCGCATCCGCTATCCCGCCTCGCGGGATTCTAACCCAGGACCTGGTGAGCGACCTATGCTCCTTCACGTGGAGTAACAGGCGTAAGTAAGTAATAGTTTGTAATCTTGTTATTTACTCAATGAAATTTAGTTATATTAATTCTATTTACTAGTAGCTTATGTTTATGATGCTACCCGAAATCTGACTCAAGTTAGATCATATGAATGTTATAGAAATAATCATGTCAGGTTCACCACTTTAGTGGCACTTTATTTAGATCGGACTATGTTGTTGATGGGCGCAATACTTTTGTGGCCATATAGCTGATTCCATACAGCTGTATACTGATTGTCATTGAAATACACATATCGGCTGTTATATCCTAGCCAAGATTAAATTACGAGCAACTTCTGTCAACTAATAATAGACTAATATTACACGCATATTCCTATTGTATAACTATTCAGCAACCATATTATGTATATTCATATTTCTCTTATTATAAGCTTCATTTTGATCTAAAGACTATGATCATACGATTTACTGTTCTCTCATATTCACTTCTTGACTATATCTTGTATAAATGTTATTTCCTATTTGACGGTGTAATGTGGTCTATTTGTCTGGTATATAAATCAAGTATGTTTGAAATAAATGATTCGCATAGAGGATGCTTTTATTGGCATTCTGGACGGGCTAGGCGAGCAACGAATCAATAGGACGCCAGGCTGTTTATACCGGTCGAACGTCATCAGTTTAGTACAGTACTAAGATTGAATAAGTCGTAATAAAAAACGGGCTATAAAGACACAACAAATTGGCAACGTGGATTTTGCGAAAAGTAAACGTACACACAAAAAATTGGCTTCAGGGATTTTACGAAGAAAAACAACAATTTTGACTTGGATTTTAGAAAAGAAATAAGCCATAATAATTGACGGTGGTTTTCGGAGTTAATATTATTATTATCAGTAAAAAAATGTCGATTTCTTTAGAACAGTTGCAGTTGATATTACAGTATCAACAGAAACAGCACCAGCTGATGTTACACCTTAAACAGCAAATATTTGAAGCAGTTATGGGCAGACTTTTCACTTAACCAGAAAATAAATAATCTATTTAATGTGCAGACAGTGTTACAGTTATACCCATTTCAAAAGCATGCCCTGTGGAGGGTTCAAAACTCTTTATACCTGAAGTAAAATGTAATATTGGTAAATTATCCGGCTCACAACAAGACAACATTGTGCTAAATACACATGAAGTTGTGACAATACCAAATGATCATAAACCAGATCCAGTAGATGAAGCCCAGAGTCTAGAATTAAATGAAGTACTACTGACCCTGTCTAACTCTGAAAATAAACTTCAGCTAGAACAAAATTACGGTTCATGTGATATTAATCGAGAAATCTGAATGGATTCATATCCAGAAAATAACTGGAGCAATACGATGAACCCAGTTGTTCCAAATGATACTCAAAATCATTGAGACAGAAATTTATATTGAACCAACTTATTCGATTTCTTATAAAAATGAGAAACATATGTCGGATGAATCAAGTTATGATCCAAAATCTTATCCAATTTTGTTAGATGTTGATTTTCCTAGCGACCTGGTATCCACTAATGAAATTAATAATGAATTTGAAGAAAGTATTTAGAAGAACCAAATCCTGATTACCTCAAATTAAATGACTATCTAGACATTTCTACTGGATTGTTCATTCAATGAGAGGATCGATCTTAGAGTACATATATTTTTTACACTCGTTGATCGGAATAAACAATCAGAGAATCACAGCGAATTAAACGAAGAGTATAGAGCAAAATGACACTCAGTGGAGAAGGCAAGTGAACCAATTCGATTTAATCAAGTGTTAATCATTATTTATAGTCAGACAAAAATAAGTTACAGACATGTGATGAATAGGATATGAAACGCACACACACGCTCACATAAAACAGTCAAGGTTGATAAGTGAATAATTAACGTAAAAATGTGACTCAAGAAGAATGGATAAGTTGACATGTCCATCCAGAAGCTAGAATAAGTTATTGGTTCAAGTTATTCGATGTTCTTGCTATAAACTCTGAGGTATCCGGCTTAAACACCTAGCCGAATCACTAATTGGCATGGCTAAGAAACCTTATGCTAGGATAATAAAATTGTCTAGTACCCACTGGCTATCTTAACAAAAGTCACTCTGTGATATAAGTTGGTGAATAACTCTGGAGTCATCAAGGATGAAATTATTACTCGATAATTCACTGACAAATTACAGTAAGCAAGTATTTGTTCTGATCACTACAGTCAGTGGCTGCTGATGTGTGTCAGATAGGAATAGGGAAACAGAGATCTACATTTAGCTCGGGCTGACATACCAAACAAGTCCATCGATTTATTAAGGAGTAATTATTAATACTGTTAGACGGTTCAAGGTAAACATTTATCACTCATACAAAAGTGTTTGCTGAAAATCATTGAAAGTGACCTACTCTTCAGGAAATTGTCTTATATACATAATAGAAATCATGAAAGTATAGACTAATAAGCATTATGTTTGTATGTAGTATAAGTTGATGGTGGTGAAATCTCTCGATTGAATGACTTTGCAACGAGAGCATTCACTGTCATTCTAGTCAATCCAATTTGTAGTCACTTCAATAGAAATTTGACTGAACCACTTATTTTAACACAGCTATCTACTTTAACTGATTAATCCACTTAATGTCATGGTGAAGATAAAGAAAACAGACTCTACGTTCTCTCCCCCCACCAACTAGTTTAGCATTGATTTGTACTACTTATTAGTATTCAGTAAATAGTTGTATTTCTGGCAATTTCTAAGCGCATGTTGTGAGGAGAGTTTGTCGTATAATATTTTAAAATATTAACATATACTCATAACATTTATTGTATTATCATTAGAACTACTCTCTCTCGATACCTTTGGCAGTTAGTCTCAATTTTTGTAGTCGTTTATTCTCTGTTTAAACGTGATGGTTTTCATATTCGTTTGATTCTTTTTTGCTTGTTGATAAACAGCTATCAGCTCCTTTTCTTTCAGACCTACAGACGTGCTAGGCACCACAGATAACTCACGAGTTGAGGATCGGTAATTTACGAACTACGGTTCCGCGCGTATCTCAATCGTGGAATTAGACGCTTCGATAAGTTTAACACTGTCAACTAATCGATAGTAATATTAACCACTCAAATGACATTTTTCAACGGTTTTGTATTATTTTAACAGTTTAAACCACAAACTAATATTAGCTAGACCACCATTGAGAAACTAGATGCACTGGACCACCGTTTTGTCGTAGTATAAGGCTTCTCAGAAGTGCTCATCGACGACTGTGCATCTGATGGTCGAACTCATGATGAATAAGTCCCTATACCACTAAGCTAACCTTATGAATATTATTTAGCACTAAACAATAGATAATTTCTCCAAATTTCACTACAATTACATGCAATCTCAATGAGATATGAAAAGTGAGATGCTAGAGCGAGTGGATTACTACAAGTGGATGAGCTAACTGAAGTCATTGCCCAACTATTGTTATCAGATAACCCTTATATGTGCATGATGTGGATTTTGTCATTGAACTCTCGATGATCAAGCTCCATACAAAGCTGTGCTCTCCATCCTTTTCATAGTTGAGTTCGCTAACTGTTAGAAATGGATATAGTGGTTGAATCTAATCGACCAATCAAAAACACAACTCTATTAAATAGTTTGCATTATACAAAATGAAATGCCAAGACATATTTTGTTAGAGAGAATATGTGAATAAAAATGAAATATATTAGAATGGAACATCAGCAAAAAGCAGAAGAACAACCAGTATGCGACGACAACAATAATATAAAGGTTGAAAACGTGTTCAAATATAATAGAAATAAGAGAACCCATCCAACCATTTCCACACTATGAAACACATCTCAGACTTTAACATGATTACATTAGACAAGTAAAGAAAAGAGTCGGATCAACAATAAACATAAGCGAATAATATAATTAAGAAGGATAAAAAAAATTTAAGGTTAAAAGTTAACATAAATGCTATAATTTCAATTGAAGCAAATATGTATGATTCCTTACTGGTTTGGTTTAATTAATTGGTTATTTGTAATATGATAGTATCAAACAAAATTGACTACCTACAAACAAAAGCACATGGATGTGTAAGACAATTTTGACGTTATGTACAAAACGATTATGGACTCATCAATATGTTGTATATATATATACTACTTACAAGTAGCATAAATATTGGAGAGTAAAGGAGCTGAGGGAAAGATGAAAGAAACTAATTTAAGAAGCCTGTAATATATAAACAAAGCGTATTTAAAATGTTACAGGAATTCTCGTTTAAGTATAGATTCCTCTTAAATGGTACTGCAGAAGTATACCCTGCTCGTTTAGAATGATAAATAGATAAATTGGAATTTTTGTTTGTTTTAATTTGCATTAAGCCAGTGGATGTTAGATAACTTTGAAAGAGAAATTAATAGTGATGATAGTAATTAAAAATAATAAATAGTCAGTAGTATAGTAGATAAAGAATGATATATTATTTCAACTACTCTTGCAATATTAGCATTAATCTGATGAGTGAAAAATGCAGTCAAATATTTTAAACTACTAAAATACAATAAAGTAGTATATAAAAGCATAAATTTAAAATGAGAAAAGTAGAGAAACAATGTGTAGTAACCGGTGTGTAGAGTATTTTACTATTGATAAAAATTGATAACAGAGTAATTAATTGTGAGGTTGATTTTGTTTGTTTTCTAGAACGAACCGTCTAGTGGAAATCACCAATAACTACGTCTAGATCTTCACGAACGATCCACATTCCAGGAGGTGTATTCGCCAACTTTTCATTAATATTCTCATCATTATTACCTGGAATAGGTTTATCGTAATTACGGTAATTTTGTTCATATTCACACTTTGCATAACCATTAATATGTTCTGATGATTTCACTTTATCATTATTAATAATAACCGATTCAACTGAGGATTCAATGGCTGATTTTTTAAATTTATTGTCATTATTATTATTCAACAGAGAATGTGGTGTTGGTTTAACAGCTGATATTGGTTTCACAGCAACAGGTATTCCATTATTTGACATATTCATCATATTAGCAGTTGATGGACTGATTTTTCGGCCTAAATAAAACAGAATACACAATATTATTGATTGAAATTACAGAAATCGTATAGATTTGAATTCTTGGTTTTTAACAACTAACAGTACATTAGATTTACTGAGCACATTGGATGTTTTTTTAAAAAGTTAACCACGGAACATTGAGATGTCACATAAGATAAGTTAAAGAATACTAGTACATAAATCAAACCTTTTTTTGAACCATTCCTTACCTCGACGGGTGATATTGACTGATATAGGAGTAGATTGGAAGAAAGCTAAAGATAGTCAAAAACGTGGCATTAGTTGATAAAATCATTGGCTTTTGTTTTGAGGTATATGGGTACATGTAGACTATCCGGTTGAGATCTGTGCTATAACCGCAATCCGTAGCTAGAGACGTTGAGTGACATAGCTCAGAGTTAATCACAATGGTACAAATGTATATGCTAGTTATCGATCTAATCGCAATATGGTCGCTAGTCGGAAAGGCTTAATATCACAAACAGTATTTAGATGTAAAGTAGAGGTTAGGTTAGAGGTGGTAAGCTAAAAAAAGACTCTCAACCAAATTGCGATAGTAGTTAATACTCATCAACAAATCGTATATCTACAATTCTGAAAAAAATGATGCCATCTATATGACTGGGAATCATATTGTCTATTGGTCATAGTGAAAGATTCTACCAGCCCCCAAATGCCCTGGTACGGCCGAGAGTGGGGAGAGTCAGCTCTACCTCTCGAAATGCTCTCACATGGTCACGCGTATACAACCTCTGCCAGGGAAGTTATAATCACTACCTTCTCGTGGCGCTATTGTTGTTTACCAAATTGAGAGGACGAGAAGCGAATGTCCGACCTTTTAACCGGGTTGGTGGACATGGAAAGTCCACCTAGGGGAGTTGGATAACCCTGATTCCAAACCAATGGTGTACATGGGCTCCAGTATCCTGAAGGAACAAATGGCGTATGAACGAATCGTTCGTCGTCTACCATGGGACTGCATATCCTTTCGATGCTCCATTGCCTTATGGATCAGACTTTTAGGTTGAAGGCTCCAGGTGTGGCCCCCTAAGGAAACCACTTGTTTCGGTTTGGGCACCCGGGGAGTATCACAGCACTCACACATATCAAATGAGATTTGTGTGGCGCATATATATTTGGTGCCGCATTGTGCCTCATTGTATCTGTGTTAAAATAAATAAATAATAAAAGTAGGTTTATAGCAGCTAACAGAAACATATTAATACACACTACATTTAAATCATTTACCAGGTATGAGTTTTGTACAATCTGGCCATATCAATTATTATTATTAATAATAATAATACATATAAACATATGGTATTGTTTATAATGTGTCAAAAATTATATCATGTCCAATAATTATGATATAAAAAGAGAAATACAATCACCATGGTATCATTGTGTTGTATATTAAACAAATGTTTAAATATGAAATAACAAAAAAATCACTCAAATCTATCACAATGAACATACACAATCGATAGGTAACAACTTGACTCGTTTGAATTTTGTCAACTTGAGTCACCACCACCTATGGTATAAGTGAGATATGTGTCTCTCAACGAAAAGACGAGTTTAACTGTGAAACGAAGTCTTTTTAAAGGTGGAGAATATTCAATGGTTGATAGTACTTCATTATGTATCTTTGAAGTATCGTTTGCTTATGATGTTCAGACCACTGTCAGTCAGATGCAACGTAGCACCTGGCACGTGTATAATATCGGTTTAAGTTCTCATGCATCATTAGAACAGCAGGATGAAATCGTCGGGGCAAATTCCGAAATATTAGATGAAGTAACAATACTAGTGGTCATGGAAAAGATTAGGTATGAAAGATACAATTCGAGAAAGTTTGTGGGATAAAACAAATTTGTGAGGAATTCAGAACTCGAGGTCCTCCTGGAACCACCGAATGAACAATCTTGGTATTAGATGCGGCGTACTAAGCGAAGATGGAAAGTTGGTTGATGAAGTTGTGGATCCAAATTAACTGAAGTTGACTGGACACGTATTACATATGGCAAACCACCGCTGACCTTAGCATGAGGATATTTGTATGTGTAGGAACGGGTTAGGAGAAATCTGGAAAAGGGCAAGCCGAAATGTAGCACCAGTAAGTGGAATTATTGAGTATTGAGCAATCAATGCAGATGATTATGATTGATCGTTGACTGAGTTGGAGATTATACAATGCAATGAACTATCACATGTATATGGTCAGTCAGTCACAATCAACATATAGTCTAACACAAATATAAAAACATGTGTTGTTATAACAAGAAGAAACTAACCAAGAATATAGCGAAAATATCGAAATAGCAGTATTATAAAGGATAGTGAGAAAGATCTAACATTAAAGAATAAAATTCCCAAAAAATTATGTACGAAAGAATGTCAAAACTCAAGATCTAAAGGTTGATTACAGACTAGACGCATCTGTGCTATTGTCACCGATTATGAGCCTTGAATTATTTGTTTGTGGTTCTCGTGTAGACCCTAACCAAGTAGTTTACAACCATTAACACAGCCCATCCTAACACAGTCATTAAAATTATGGACTGATGTCATAACGTTTACTATATAAATCCGTTAGTTTTCATGATGATTTAAAAAAAAGGGAATAAACAAACAAATGAATCTCAAATTTGAACAAACCTATTAAAGATTTTCGTCCACCACGAATAGGTTTAGGAACATCTGATGCTTGTGTGTTATTGTCATTTTTTGAAATTGTACCAGATCCAAACGATTCCGTTGTTGTTGTTGACAGTGTTTTAGTGTTTGAAGCAACAGTGGAATTTTTACAGGACAAGGCATTAGGCATACAATCATTAGAGTCATGAAGTGAATAATTATGTTTAGACTGTTGCAATTTTGTTGTTAATGGTATTCCTTCTTCAACTGAGGTAAGACGTTCAGAAGGATGATTCGAACGGCCAACTGTATTCAATGACCGATGACTAGATGTATTTTTTGAATATAGCCCAGTATTTGGAGTTTTACTGGCAAGTTTATGAGTATTATTGTTTGTTGTTGTATTAGTTGTGCGATTTGATGGGTGTTGATTCATTAATGACTTATCCTGTTTAACAAGAGCTGCATAGACCGACTCCACAGATATTTGTTGAATACTAGTAGCTTTGGGAATATTACTACTACGTGGAGGTTGAATATTAGATTCATTATTAAATGCGTTGACCGACTTCAAATTAGATATTGAACTTGCAGCAGATACTGAACGACTACTGGCTAAAGAATGACCTTGTACCGACGGTGGTTCTGTCATTGCAATACGATGATGTTGTTGCCGTTGTTTGATAACACGTTTAGTGGAATTTTTAGCAGTATTTTTATTATACGGATTAATTGTAGTTTTATGCATATTATTCATTGTTGTAGTAGGATGAATAACATTCTTCTTGTATTTGTAAACGGTATTACCAGTGCTGATCGAGGAGCTTGTAGGATTCACAAGGTTAGACTAGAAATAAAATGTATATTGGAAAACATAGAAAACAAATAAGATAAACTTAATTGTGTAAATATAATTCGGTGTTACTTCCTTTTCATCTATTTATTAATCAGTAAAGTTTACTTAATATTTGGATAAGGAGCATAACATCGGATAAGAGTTTGTGTACAGTCGTAATTTCAACACATTCGCTTGGAAAGCATGTATGATCAAAGAATTACAACCTACTCTTCTTATTCAAAGCCTTTATTTTTAGAATACAAAACGATTTGTTGTGAACTATATACTCTCTATTTAGTAGGCAAAAAGATAACTATGCCAAAACGTCTTTTTCAGACATGTGCTGATGAGTTTCTGGAGAGAGGTTGAATAATGATGAAGAATAGGATCAACAATTTAATGATCTATGATCAAATTAATCATTGTTACATATCAATAATGGAGTATTTATTTTGTGACGAAAGAACACAGAGATATCCTTGTGGCGTGTGTTACTGATATTGACAGATATAAATAGTATGTATCATCAATCGAAAGTGAAATGCCTGGAAGCAGAAGGTTAAGAAGATCAAAGAATGATTGGTGTGAGAACGAAAGAACAATGAAGTCTGAGACGACTGACTGACATTTTGTAGAAGGAACAGTCAAGTTTGAGACAATTAACTGATATTTTGCAACTGAGGCATTTACTGTTTGGTTCTCAGATTTTACTAAGATGTTCCGTAATATTGTGTTCAAATACATTCCATTATCCCCACTTGCGTTCCCGTTCACTACATTGTTCTCTAATATTTTAGCCTACCAAATGTAAACGTTTATATAGCCACTTTAAGTCAATGGTACTACTGTTCAACTGCTTGCAACGGAAATCAAACCTATGACGACATGGGTGGTGGAAAGCTGAATTCTAATTATTATCTATTACGGTGATTTATCTATTCCATTATTGAACAAGACTTATTCCACTAGGTATGATTTCTCTATCATACATTGTCTAATGTTTACCATTATAGTACTTCCAATATTTTCGATTATCCAGTTGAATAAAACAATCTACATTAGAATCAATGTGTAGGTTGCGATAGAGAGAGATTTACAATTTATTTATTTATTTGAACACATAAATATTGGTACAAGAGAGCGCCAATATATATGCGCCACACAAAACAATGAAAATTCGAAGATAGAAAAAAAACTAAGGAGCGTAAAAGAAAAAGAGAACAATAACGAAGAGATTGGTGTAAGGTAGTGTGGTAATAACGAGGGGACGGAAAGGTACAATCAGAAGAAATCTTTCAGGTAAGGGAGACATAACCACTTTTTATGAAGAAAGTAAAAGAAGATTACAGCAGGATCGCCACTGGCTTCTATTCTGAGCCATATCTGATAACGTCCCTAGCCACTGTGTAGCACCATCTCTCAGACCCCAACCAGGGAGTCGTGAAGGACCGACAGAAGCCAGTCCTTTGCAGATTTCTTTCATACCACGACACCATGTCATGCACTGACCACCTCTCCGCTTTTTCCAACCAGTCCCAGAGTCGGCAAATAATGCACGACGTGGAATTCTCTGGGACGACATTCGTAGAACATGTCCAAGCCACCGAAGTCGGTGTTTCAAGATGGTGACACCAATTGAATTATCATCTCTGTGCCCAAACACACGATGCCGAACCTCTGCATTACTAACATGATGTTGCCACTGGATGTCAGCAATCCTTCGGAGACAGCGATGATCGAACACAGAGAGTCGTCTAACGTCCTCAACTCGGAGAGGCCAGGTTTCACAACGGACAATCCCAGAGAACAGTCCTGTCCAACGAATCGAAGGCAGCCCTGATGTCAAGAAACACTACGATTGTTGGCCTTTGATAAGTATGGCGATGTTCTAACATTTGGCGGAGGGCGAAGATATGATCAATACATCCTCGACCAGAACGAAACCCAGCCTGTTCCTCGCGAGTCAATCTTTCTCGGGTTTTGAACAACCTACGAAGTATGACGGAAGCCAATAGCTTGGACGCAATCGGAAGACTTATCCCCCGATAGTTGTTGCAGGAACGACGTGAACCCTTTTTAAAGATAGGGACAACTATCGACTCAATCCATGACGTTGGTACACTCTCTAATTCCCAAACCTTGATAAACAACGTCGTCAATTCCTTAGTCAAAAAGTCACCACCATCTTTAAAAAGAGCCGGAGGTAAGTCATCTGGGCCAGGTGATTTGTAACGCTTCAAGAGTTGGAGTTCCTTGCGGACTTCCTCCTCGTTTGGTGGATCAGTCATCACCGGCCATGGAGGGTAGGACAGTCTGACCGATGTTGCCGGAGCAGCAGGCCAGTTGAACTGCCCTTCGAAAAATTCTGCCCATCGTCCAAGACGTCGATGGATGTTACTGATTGGCATCCCATCATCCTCGCAGATTGTTTCACTCACACCAGACTTCTTGCTGCCAGTGGCTCGGATGAGCTGGAAGAGCTTCCGGTAGTTACCAGATGCAGCTGCTGCTTCCAGCTCATTAGCACGCTCCGACTACCAGGCTCCTCGGTCCTTACGTACACTTTATGTACGGTATGTACCTCAACCACCTTAGAAACACGTACACGGATACTTCAAAGAATAAATTGACTAAGGAATAGGAATACTGATAATTTTGTATCGCGTATTCCAATATTTGAAAAACGTTGATAACCTCTTATAATAGATTTTTAAGTAGACCTGAAGTAATCTACAGAACAGCATGTAAGGTGATTGTGAGAATTTACAGATTATAGTACGTCGTATATAGCCGACTGATGGGAGTAGCTTAGACATAATTAAACATATCATCAATAGTTTCAGTCAGTCAGCTACAACGTAGGATCAGGCACATTTATGCATCAGTCCAAGTTGCCATAACACAATAGCACAACAAGATGAACACCGGATTCATAGAAGTAGTTAATTCAATGGTGGTATTATATAAAAGAAGGATTGCAGATCACGACATAGTACAGGAAGAGAGAATTAGTTCGTATAAAAGGAAGATAAAAAGCAATTTCAATTTCATAGTTTAAGGGAAGATAGAGAGTGTATACACCTATGCCTTTGTGATCGATTCTGAACCATGTCACCAAGAGTCTCCAACCATTGGTTACGATAGTCACGCAGACCCCAACCAAGTAGTTTGTATCAGTAGTTTAATATAGAAGGACACAATTGGAAACCGGAATTCCCTCTATCCAGTAAAAAGATAATTTAAAAAAAATTCCAAACGATTAGAATAGGAGTCCGACAGGATATGGATCTTTTAATAAATTATAACTGATTAAAATTATTAATACCGACCACTAGGTGAAAACTCAATGGTGTATGAGAAAAATACACTTACTGTGAGAATTAACGCTCCGGTGTTCGATACGTGGGAATGTCACTTGAATACTGACAGGGAATATTCTCATATTATGGATAAAATAATCTCCAATGCTCCTTGATGTTTAACCACTGTAATAAACTCTTACTTCACAGACCATAACTAGTGATTACTTTAGGCGGTTTAAGATAGTTAGGAGAAAGGTTTACTACCTAGGTTTCGTACAAGTTGGCGCTTGTTGGTAAGGTCTACCTATGACCCTGACGGGACTGAAGTATCATCTTATGTCGCAGTTTAATCTTTTTAGGACGCTTCCACTGAGCCATTCAGTCAGTAACAACGTAGAACTTCGTAAGTACGTACATCAGTTCAATTTACCATACCACATTAGCACAGAGATACAATTGTAGATTCAAAACCCATAGTGGTAGAGGTATTAAAAGTATAAGCAGTAATCGGAAACATTAGGGTTTCAACATGTTATTCAAGGAGTATAATCCAGTGAAATAAATTTTTAAAGAAAACAAAGGACATGAGGAGTTTAGATTAGAATTTGGGAGAACACAAATAGTGGATGCACCTGCGCCATTACAAACGATTTTCAGCCATATTATTCAAGGTCTCTAAGCATCGGCTGCTATCGTCTCGCGGATCCCAACCAGGTAGTATACACCTACCAACATGGTTCAGTCCACTTGTCAGTGACTTCGTGGAGCAATTCAAGCCATTACTGACATCCTGTAGAACTGAGATATTTACATTAATCATCACCGGAATGATAGCTAATGTTACACCTGTTTAGTCCATAATGCTAACCGATCATTAACCAAAATAATTTGGGTTAAATCTCACAGGGAGGTGCATTCATTCATCGAAAAGTGTAGATATGTTTGATTAAAGAGTATCAAACAGTCTGATGCATTGATCCACAGCTCTTTTTTTCTCAACTCATTTCAATCACTTTATTAAAATCACAATGAAAATAGGATTGTGGAGATTATTAAGTTTTTTGATTGAGATCATGAACCGATTAATATTAGACCACTGTTGAAAACCTGAAAACACTGGACGACCGTTTCATCCTATTGGCGGCTCAATGGTCTAAAGGTTGAGTGTTCACGTGTAAGACTGAAGGCCCTGTGTTCAAATCACGCGAGCCAGATCATGGATGCGCACTATTAAGGAATCCCACAATAGAATGAAAAGGTAGAAAAAAAAGTAACATAATAATAACGAGGAAAAAAAACTCATAAAATTACTTGAATTTTATTTCGAATATTTGGATTGTTTTTCTTGTTACCATTGTCATTTTGATTATTCATAATACTGGTTGATTGATTTGAAGAAAATTGATTTGAAATAGGTGACACTACAGTTTTTTCTAATCCATAAACATTATTATTATTATTATTAGTAGTAGTAGTATGGTTAGTGAATTTTGAATTTTTTAATTTAGTATTTGACAATTGATGTGGATGATAATACTTCACTGATTGCATATTAGATGTAGATGTTTTATTTGATATTTGATTAGTAACACATGTAGAGGATGGTGAACAATTACTCGATTCCACTAATCTAGTTACACTCATTTTATTGGACTTATTATTATTATTATTAGCCTTTGTATTATTATTATTATTATTATTATTATTATTATTATTATTATTATTATTATTATTATTATCGTCATCGTCATCGGTATCGAATGGAATAGACTGTTCCAAGTCGGTGAATTTTGGTAAAAGCTCTAAACTGGAAGCATTACTAATTGATTGAGAGTTGTTATTATTACTACCAGTAGTAATAGTGATATCAGTTACTAATTTGTTATTAGAATTATGTTCCTTCTCGTTGACATCATCACATGATTTCATTAGATCTGAAACAACAGTCTGAGAAAAAAAAATTATGAAAAATAATTGACAAATTTTGTTTAGAAAAAAAGATAACTGGAACAATAGCTTAATTTCTGTGCATTTCATTATCCTGATGTCTAATGAGTTGACTGAAGAAGGGTTAAAAGGACGGAATCTATGAATGGGTAGAACAATGATTGGAGATGTTGGAGAATAACTATCAATGAAATAAAATAGTTTTTGAGAAGAATGAACTGACAACCTTGATGGATGATAATCATTTAACCGATTATAGATAGTATTAAAATAGGTTTCACGAAGTTCCAATAGAAAGCGTTGTGAAATGTACAGTCAAGTAAGTCAAGTTGAAGATAATAACTCACTGAGTGATATCTCACTAGATAAAAAAAGCCTAACTATCTCGGACTTCATCATTTACCCAAGTATAAGTAAAGAATTTGGAAAAATCTCCAAAGTGGAACGACAGACCTGTTCACCAATGCTTTATGGTTATAGATAGATTTTCCAATCAATCAGTCAGTCAGCTACAACGTAGGAACCAGGCACATATACGCTTCGGTTCAAGTTACCATACCTCATTAGCACAACAAGATGAACACCGGATTCATAGAAGTTGGCAAAAGTCAAACAAGCTTTTTGAATCCCTAACAGATTTTCTAATAGATGTTATTTTGTACGAAAGTCTTCACATAACCTACTAAGTAGATAAGTCAGTCAGTTAGTGAATAACCAAAGAAACTGATATAAATATAAATCAAACACAAGAAATCTAACGAATTATTCATTTGTTCAACAATACACATCAGTTAGGATATATTATCACCACAATAGTTTCGAACGAATTGTTGGACAAGAAAAAAAAAGATTTACCCCTTATTTTTTTTTCCAATTTCCTTATTATGTTACAATGTCAATAACCTATTTGTAAAGTAATTAATTATGGATAGTGAATAAAGTAAGGAAAAAGAATAAGAAAAGAATTTCTAAGCAAATACAACTGATATATATATATATATATATATATATATATATATATATATATATAACTGGAGCATTGACAAATACAAATATTTTGTAGAAAAAAATATAGGTATCAATGACGAGGTTGGACTAGATAGTTTCAAATAAACTCGTGTTCATTTATTTCGATTATTTATCTACCCTAAAGAAGTGGCTTAGATTAAGTTACGAAACGTCAGAAATAAAACGGTTGAGAAAATAGTATATTGTTTCCTGTATTTACACTAATAATTAAACTTTGAATTTAAGAAAATCAACTGTATATGATATAGGGGTATTGGATAGACAAATAAAATATTATCAGAAGGGGTTATGTGAATATTATTAGTAATTTCAATGGTTGAGATCATGAGTTAGTCGAAGCTAGACCAACATAGAGAACCTAGAAGCAATGGACGACGTTTTTATTGTGTGACTCCTCAACAGTGTGCACCCACAATCCCGGCTCGCGATATTTTAACCAAGGACATATTGGTCTCGCGCGCGAGCGCTTGAACACTAGACCACTGAGCATGTCTAACTTCATCTAATCCACGGAATTGAGCGACACATCCACCATTGTCATCAGTGAGTTACTATCTCACTACAGACGTGGTTGAACTCCACTGGCCACTGCTTCTCACTAGAACTCCAGGATAAACATCTTGAAGACAGTCACTAATGGGCATTTGTTGATTAATATCAGAAGGGGTTTTGTGGATATTATAGTAATTGCATATGTTGGTGGTTTAGCTTCAACTGGCTCATGATCTCAACCAATGAAATAAAATATTCATAATTAGTAATGGAATAAGAAAAGTAAATGTTGATGGACTACTACTCTAACATTGGTAGGTAGTCAGTTATTGAAAAATAGATCATCAAGGAGTACAACATGTAATTATTTATTAGTATATCGTTGTGGAGATTATCGAATTTCATTGAAATCATGAACCGATCAATGTTAGACGACCATTGAAAACGTGAAAGCATAGGATAACCTTTTCATCCTAGCATGGGACTTCCCAGCTATACTCATTTACAACCCCAAACCTGAGAAACGAGCTAAGAACTTTCAATCTTCCGCAAGGATGCTTAAACTCTAGATCATTGAGCTAATTCAAAACGAGACATATAAATTCTTTTGCTATATTGAACTCCTTAGTTTACCATGATCTTAACATTCCTTCGTATTTTGTTAGTTATTTCTTGACACATACTTGCTTTCTCTTTGTCATTATTTCATATTCTCTAAGTGAATCATTGTTTTTTCTAAATCTTATATTGACACTTATTGCTTCGTAGCATGTTTCTATGTGTTAATTCATTACTATAAACTTTTGATTATTACGCAACTTAGAATTCGGATGGATTTTTTAAAAATATTACTGCTAATGAATGATGCAGTAGTTCTATTTATATTAAAGACTAATGTACGTGAAAAAGAACTAGATTAATAAGATTACACGGTTCTAGTCAATGGTATCGTCAAAAAGAAAATTTTCGCTGTTGAAACATCTTTATTTTGCTTAATGACTATTTAATGAATGTCTTTTGTTGTCCTCTGTCTTCATTTACAAATGCTTTACCTATTGTTGATCCAATTGTAGCTCTTACATTGACATGGTGATTCATCTTGCTGATTATGATGATCCATTCAGGTTAAAATAGGCTGGAATACTTGTTTATTTTTTTAAGATCCTACCATGCTAGATGAATTTGTTGAAGAGCAGAGTAAGAAACTTAAACTATAAGGTCAGAGCCATAATGTTAGTTGTACTGAATGGTGGTGGTGGTAAGGTGTTTCTCTTCAAACAAATCGCACTCGACACGATGTTGTCTTCTTATAACCAGACGGATTTTTAAAAATCTCCAACTCGAAAATAGAGCAGCTTACTTTGCTCCATGGATTTTCCATGCCGATATTAAGGCGTAAAAAGTAAAGTGGTGAGACATCGTAACCTACTAACAACTAACTAACTTCAAGCAGTTGTCCCTTAATCTCAGTGATCATGTATCTTTGTCTTCAAGACTGTTTATTTATTTATTTGTACACATAAATATTGGTACAAAGGAGCACCGGATACATATGCACCACACAAGTCACTTAATTTGTGTGTGTGCTGTGATACTCCCCGGGTGCCCAGGCCGAGCAGGTAGTTTTCTTAGGGAATCACACCCGGAACCTTCGACCTAAAGGTCTGACTCAAAAAGCAGTAGAGCAAGGTTAAGACATGCAGTTCCATTGTATCCGGTGACCAATAATTAGTTCATACGCCTTTTTTCTCTGAGGATCTTGGAGCCCATGTGCACCATTGGTTTAGAACCAGGGTTTGCAAACTCCCCTAGATGGGAGTCCCATATCCACCAATCCGGTTAAAGCGCCGGACATTTGCTTTTCTTTCAGTTTGGTAAACAACAATAGTGCCACGAGAAGGAAATGAGTAGGACTTCTCTGGCAGTGGCTGTATACACGTGGTCATGTGAGAGCATTTCGAGAGGGAAAGCGGACTTTCTCCCAATCTCAGTCTTACCAGGGTATTTCAAGTGTCATAAAAAGAAGTATTCGTTCACGATTTGGAAAATCGGGAAGCAATAACCGTCATCATACCTTTAACAGCACTTGAGATCATTCACAAAATTATTGCGTAAATCTCGATTACAATCCATTATACCTCATTAGTTTTCCCTTATTTTTGTTAGTTGCATTATCTGTTAAATAATGAATTCATCTTTTAATGACTACAAAAAGAAATTGTATGCTTTACACTTAAGTTTTTCTGTTCTGTTCTGTTCCTAGTATGTAATAATCTCTTTAAAGAACCATAATTAATAGTTAATAATGGTATACATAAAATAAAAGTTAAGCGATCATGCAAAACACTTGTGAAAGCTAATCCTATTTTGAAATATTGACCTGTATTGTTCATAATCATTTCTTTGTTAGAAAAGAAAACAACCAAATTTCAAGATTCACTAAAATAAGTAAGGTTGATTATAAAATGACTTAACTTTCAAAAAACAAAAAAAAACACAACCCCAATCACTAGAACAAATTAGAGTATAGCAACAAAATTATTATCAGGACAAACTTAACGAAAAAGAATGGAGATACACAGAACTGACCTAAAAACTTATTTAAAGGAAATTTATGGTAATGATAATGATGATGTTGTCCAGATAAACAATCAGTCGGTCAGCTACAACGTAGGATCAAGGACATATATGTATTGATACAGGTTGCCATAATTCATTAACACAATAAGATGAAAACCGGATTCAGAAAAGTAGTTAATTCAGTGGTGATAATATATAAAAGAAAGATTGCATATAAGGACATAGTGATGGAAGAAATAATTAGTTCGTACAAAGAAAGACAAAAAGATATTTCAATCTCATAGTTCAGGAGAAGACAGAGAGTTTATACATCGACGCCATTGTGATCGATTCTGAGCCATGTCACCAAGAGTCTCTAACCATTGGTTACGATAGACACACACACCCCAAGCAAGTAGTCTGCATCTAACAACATAGCTCAGACTGACAGTTGGTGACTTCAAAGACTGATGTCACGTTTTGGTTCGGCCGCCCCTAACTTACTTCCAACCAGTTCCAACACTAAACAGAAATGTGCGTCATGATAATCGGTGTTCAGGCATACGTAACACGTGGTCCAACCATCTCAGTCGATGAAGATTCACAACCTCAATTAACTGAATTAACATCATTCCCTAATATCATACGTCTAGCCTCACTATTACTTACCCGGTGATCCCAGCAGATACGAGCAATATTTCGAAAACATGTGTGATCAAATACTAGTAAATTACGAGTATCTTCTACTCGTAATGGCCACGTTTCACAGCCGTGATGTAGAACCGAACGAACTGCCGTGCAGTATACTCATTCCTTAATTGACAGACGGATATCTCGCTTTCGCCATAAGTGACGTAGGTTGGCAAAAGCCAAGCGAGCTTTTCGAATCCGTCCTGAGACTTCGTCAAACACTAACCTATTAGGGTTGATCAAGATAAGTGAAGTTGTCAACGCTGATTAGATTATCATCTATCTAAAGAAAAATAGAATCACTGAAACTTAATACTAACAGGATAGAGTTTTGACCATATCATATTAGCATAATCAAATTAAAACGCGAGTATGTTGACTGGCTAACTTTTAATCAACCAGGGCTAATGGACGAATTGAAAGGATGCTAGGAGATTCTTCTGTTAATTCCATATAAACTCAAATGCTTTCATCAAGACTGTATATTTGAAATTCTTGGACTGATTTAGGAAGGGTTGAGTGAAGTAATTTATTCCAACAAATACTAGATAATAGGGGGAATATAACACTTATTATCATTTACGCAATAAATTCGCCATACAGTCAGGAAACAAAAACGAAAAACCCTATCGATTTAATTCTACTGAATGCTACTTACTTTGGCGCCTTGTTGAAGTAGTTCACTGATATCTTTAGCATCAAGTACATCAATGATATCAATATCTTGTTTATTGATTGAATAATTATTGTTGTTCATTGCAACAAATGATTTAGATACGATCGATGACGGTGCTCGTAAACCAGATTTTGTTTTGTTTAACGGTAATGAACTTTTGTTGGAAGTTGATGTAATACGATGAGGTTCATAATGTTGATATACATCTTCCGTACTATTATTATTACTATTATTGTTACTACATTTTAAGGATAATTTTGAATCATTGTGATTTGCAGCTGAAGTTAAATTTAGAAAGAGACCAATAGAAGTTTATATATATATATATATATATATATATATATATATATATATATATATATATATATATATATATAATCCATTAAAGTGAAAAGCACAAGCCATAAGGACCAAAAAAGCCCATCAATCACTATCTTCGGTTGGGATTCTAGGCTGTGATATTCAATGACGTCTAAGTTCTATGGAATTTTTCACTAAAATTTTGATGGAAGACTTATCCAAAATGATGATGACACAACTCATTTTCTAAGTGCATCATTGCGCCACAGTATTTGTTCAAGGCTCTTCGGAAGTGAGTATGTACGACTTCGCCACCAGGGGTTGAACTCAGAACCTTTGATCTTGCATGCAAACGACTAAGCTATAAGCCACTGACCCGAGATCCACTGGTTATCATGCCTAACTTCAATTAATTTGTAATATCATGTAACCATCTTCTAATGTACTTGATGTTTAACTGCCTCGTACTCGACATAGTTGAACAGCACTAATTGAGATTTCTTATAAGAATTCGATACTAGAACACAACAACTGATTAGAGCTTATTGGCTTCTAATAGTTCTCTAATTCAGCTCAGCCTATGATGTAAAATTAAAATATACGAAGTTAATTCACAGTAAAAACTTGTTGATTTTGATGGCAAAACATATAACTGCTGTTGATTTTTTAAAAAATCGCTTTACATAGGAGTACATAGATTAGTTTGAAGAATCAGCACACAGTAAACAGCACTTGTAGTAGGTTAGTCATCATCAACTGACAAGTGAATTGTGTCAGGTCTATCAGAAAAGATGTCTGCCTATAACTAACTTAAATAGTAAAATTAACATTATTAAATCATGTTGAGAAAAAACACATCAAAATTAGTATATAAATTACGGTACTTACCTTTTGTGATGTCTGCTCCGAATGATGCACAATTAACTTTGTTTGTTATTTGAATTTGCTTTATCTGATTATAAGTGATAATACTACTACTCTTACTGTTGCTACTGCAATTCACAGAGACAGCAGTGGTGCTCGTAGTAGAAGTGATAGACGCTCCGGTAGATGCATGATTATGTTTAAGTGTAATTGTATTATTCATTATCGCTGGATTCACATTCAGACACGAAATTTCTTGTTGATGTTGTTGTGCATCGTCGGAGCCATGATCTAAAAAATGTATTGTACCAGCGCCCTTATTAAAAGATTGTGCAGTGATATTATTATTATTATTACTCGACTTTGCAACAGTAGTATTATTCAAATTATGACCAGGTATTTTAGACTTATTCAGAGAGAGATTGTTATTATTACGAGTACTACTACTACTACTAATTCTACTTCTAATACTACTACTACTACTACTACCATCTTGTGAATATTGAGCTCTGGGATTTGATGATATACATGATAAAGTTGTCGGTACTTTGTGAACAGATAATTCTCTATACGGATGTATTTTAGATAACGGTAATGATGACGACGATGATAATGATGTATGACAATGATTAATCGCTTCTTCATGGTTACTTGATTTACAACAATCCACATTATTATTATTATTACTATTATTATTATTATGAATATTATTGTTTTCAAAAGGAATTGTAGATTCATGCACCGTCGAGTCCAACTTTAATGCCGGTGATACTGATGGTTGTTGCTGCTGTGATGATGACGATGACGATGAAGACGACGACGACAATGATGATGACGATATTGAAGATGTTGACTGTTGACAGGTTTGTTTTTTCTGTTGAAAATGTTGCTGTTTACGAAGCATTGATATTGATTTTGGACGTGGCATCGCTGATGATATACATTCTTGTAATAACGAATGTTCCATACCAACTGATTCAATACTGAGTAATGAAGAAAAAGAACTAACGTCGTCTTTGTCACCAACAGTATACTGAAACGGAGATGATGATGAAGATGGTATTGATGAATTCGGTAAAAGTATACTATCATTATTCTGTTGTCCACTTTCATTCTGATTTAAACATGATTTGGACGATTGTTCTGATATATCTGAATCAAAGACACAAAAGTAAGTTTATAAATGATCAAAACAGTATGTAGAGTCAGTCAGTCAGTAACAATGTGGAACTTCGTATGTACGTAAATCAGTTCGAGTTGCCACACCACATTAGCATACAGATGCAGTTATCGATCGAAATACCATAGTGGTAGAGGTATTAAAAGTATAAGCAATAATCGGAAACATTAGGGTTTGAACATGATATTCAACGAGTATAATACAGTCAAATAAATTTGGGAAGAGAAAACAAGAGACAAGCAGGAATAAGGAGATCAACATTTGGGAGAACAAAAAGAGCGGATGCACCTGCGCCATGGCAAACGATCTTGAGCCATGTCATTCAGGGTCTCTAACCATCGGTTGCTATCATCTCGCGGATCCCAACCAGGTAGGCTACACCTACCAATACGACTCAGTCTACTTGAAAGTGACTTCTTGGATTTGTGCCATGCTTTGGTCTGGCCGCTCCTAGCTTTCTTCTAACCTACACCTATACAAAAAAACATCGCACGTCGAGGCAGTCGGTCGCCGGGCATACATAACAAGTGTTCCAGACATCTCAACTGATGAAGTTTCACTACTTCATCAATTGATTTGCCATCCTTACCTAGTACCCGTTTCCTAACAACTGCATTACTTACGCGATGGCCCCAGGATATAAAAGCAATGTTTCGAAGACACCTATGATCGAATACTAGTAACCTACGAATATCATCTACTCTTACCGGCCATGTTTCACTTCCATAAAGTAGGACGGAATGAACTGCTGCACAGTAAACACGTCCTTTAGTTGATAGACGGATATCTCGCCTACGACATAAATGACGCAAGTTAGCAAAAGCTAGTCGAGCCTTCTTTATCCGTGCTGAGATGTATGTAATGTACTAGAAAACGTGAGATGTTTTATCAATAAAACGATTCTAGATGACTCGAGGCAATCGGATTGAAACTTTTGACTTTGGTTTTACTCTGATTGCCACTTATCAGCAAGACGTATCCATATGACCAAAAACATTTTATGAAGTCCTCATAGATTCCGATTTGTGGGAAAACATCACAGAACATAAATTCAAGACTGAAAACCTACTAATTGGCAATAAATACAGCACTAAATCTCATTTGTTCAAATACTCAAATATTTTATAGATAAATCAACCAACATGAAACCTGAGCCCAAAAATTTATGTCGACTGCTTTCAGCCAATCGTAACAGTAAACTAAATGTAAAGTGTTAAGTATATTGGGTGAAGTGTAAATTGAAAAATTATTCAATCATTCATAAACAACAAACTTATATAAATTAAAAATGCTACCACATAAACCAACATAGTGAGTGAGGATTGGCAGGTTGAAAGACAACAAAAGTTGTAATGATAGCAGTGTTGTTGAAAAAATGGAACAAATGAACTGGACAAAATTGAAAATAAGCTCAGAGCTCTGAAATGAAGATTTCGAGAAGTGAACGCAACTATACTCAAAAGATTGATTTGAAGGTAAATTCGTCCAAGTTTCCAGCAAATAGATTACGACTAATCTAAATATACTCAAAGTGATCTGTGAAATCCCAACAGTACAATGCAGCAGACAAAATGATACGATGTTATTGTATTTCTCAGTCAGTGATCGACGAATGAAAATGTAAATGAGATGAATTTGAGTGGTATCATGTGTGTGGGCGGTTGTTACTTTTCGGTTATCTACAGACTGGAAGGATATTTACTCTTGAGATAGTTTAGAAAGGAAACTTAGTGGTGGTCTTGAGGATCGGCACGCGTGACAGCCTAACCAAGGTATTTCTCACTCAGTCATTTCACAATATGCGAGTAATGCTTCACAGATATCTGTGATCAAACCCCTACCACTGACCTATGCCTTCTACACTAAATAATAATATAACAGAGCCACAGAGTAATAAAACATTAGCATAGATAGCATAAAGGATTTTCAAAAACCTACACTCGGTGAATTGTTTTTTTTAACGTTTATTACGTTCAAATAATACTTACTTTGAGAACGAGAGACAATAGGTGAATTTAATGAATGACATTTACTTTGTAACATTGGTGCAACTGTTGCACGTGGTCTTGTTAAACCAGAAACTTGAGTAAATGGATCTGCAATACTAGTTAATGCAGATGTTGTACGAAGTGGTGGAATCGGAGGATTTGTATTCGATTGTTGACATGGAACAGTTGATAATGATGATGGTGATGCAAGAGTTAAAGACATATTAGAAGTCATTAATATTGCATCCGTTGTTGTTGTTGGTAATAATGCTGAATGAATACCTATTTCGTCAGGACGAAGAGAAGATGAACTTGACAATAAGTTCTCATTAACAACAACACATGGAGTACCTTCAACGGCATACATTTGCAAACAATCATCATCATTTGAAGATGATTGATCAATTACTGAACAAAAATTAGATAATCTAATTTGACCAGATTTCGGCATAGCGGATTGTATTACTTCAGATAATAAATCTGATGAATTATCACAATTCAAAGAGCTTGATGTTGATGAACTACCATCACCATGACTGACAGCAACATTTTCTGTATGACATTGTTTGATTAAATTATTGGAAGCATGCTTTATTGTATGATGATTAGATATTTGTATATTGAATGATGATGCTGAATTGGAATTTAATTCACTATCAACCATTAGTTCGTTGCCTTCCTCACATTCTTCTTCTTCTTCGACTTCTAATGGTTTATATTCTGTTATGATTAAATCATTTAATGAACTAGTTTTCGTTGAAGTCCCAAATGGTGTATCTTCTACAGCAAATGTTTTTAAAGAATCCTCTGGTTCATTGTAAAGAATACTTGTTGATGGTGAGTTAGTAAAATTTATATTCGATGATTTGTGACCTGTTAATACATTAAAAGGAATATTTGATGGCATTGCAGATGCTATACATTGTTGTAGTATTTGTGAATGATTATTATTGTCATTATTGTCATCGTCTTCATCATCATCATCATCATCAACAACATCATTCACTTCACAATCATTGTTCAAATTACTGTTCATATCAGATTGGTTGTAAGAATGTGAATGAGGAAAATACAAAGTATTCAAATTTTCTGTATCATCTTTTGGAGGTGGGGGTGTACCTTCTTCAGCGAAAGGCAATCGAACATCTTCTTCATCAGGACAACTATCTGTCTCATATAATTCACCATCACAATTTTGACTGTGATTTATATTTCTGAAATGACTATCTCTTTTACTACTACTACTATTACTACCGTTATCTTCATCATTACGATTAATTGACATTAATTCACTACTTATTCTCTCTCTGCTATTACTACTTTTTTGTTGACTGGAATATTCACTTTCCGGTGATGATTGATATCCGTTAAATGGAACTTCTAAGTCTAACGAAGATATACATGATGATGTACCACGTGAGAATACCAATGGTGTTTGTTTAGAAGAGAATAATTCACTTTGTCTATCAATCAGTTCAGATTCTTTACGAACTATTGGAAAAGATGCTGGTGGAGGTGGCATAGGGAAATGACAAGTTACACATTGATCACTTTCTACTTCTAAATTCATTGATGTTAATGGAGAGACAAGATTCGAGATATCTTCTGGTGGTGAGGGCAGGTAGGCATTATCCTCCTGTTCATTCACAATATCGGAATGAGATAGAAAATTCATTTTTTGGGGGCGATTGAATCCAATTGTATTCAATTGAACTTCACTACCATTTATACTGTCCTCATGACTTAAGTTACTATCACAGTTCGATGGTGTACCCTCAATAGCATAAACATGAGGAATTGGGTCATTTCGATAGATCAATATTGGGACATTACTATGTATTGTATCGTTATCGTTACTATTATTATGATTTATATGTACATCATTAACAGTATTGAAATTAGTATTTGCTTTATTCATTAAAAACTGTTCATCAGATCTATTCAACTCCAAAGATGATGCAGTTGCTGAATTCGATGGAAAAGGTGTACCTTCTTCAGCATAAACACATGTTTGTTCATCATCTGCTCCTGCATCAACGACCGTATTACCGCTACGATTATCTTGATGATGTCCACGACAATTTATTTCATCGTACCAATTTGATAAATGTTGATGATTGGTCGATTCAGGCAACATAAGCTGAGAATCACATAAGCTTTCTGAATTTCGATTACTTGATGTTTTCACAGTGATATCTCGATAGTTAGAATGGTCACTGATAGGTATTCCACCTCGATAATATAAGCATAGGTTGCTATTTGGCTCATATTCAACTTGTTCATTGTATTCATTAATACAGTGATTTTGTTCAGTAGTCTGACCTTCAACTTCATTTTCCACCTCTACTTCATCATCTTCCGTTTCATCCACATCATCATCAACATTATCGTCTAGTTCATCGTCACTTTCTGCTTCAAATACTACAGATAATAGACCAAAACGAAGTCTAGATGTTCTTGATGATACACGACGTTTGCATGTTGGTTGTTGTTGTTCTCCATTTGTTTGTGCTGAATTATTGACATTATAGGATGTATCACCACCGCTACCACGACCATCAGTAGTACTGCATGCATTTATTTCATTACTTGCCAAACGATCATGAGAATTTATGGTCATACTAGTTGTTACCGGCGATGATGACTCAATGAGTTGATTTTCTTGTGAATTAACTTGATCTGAATTACATATTGGTGGAATCAAATGATTCTGATTAGCAGGTTTATCTGTCTGTATTAGATTACGATAGACAGCCAGTGAACTAGTACGTATTAAATCATGTTTGGACTGAGTTAGCTGTTGTATTAAATCTAATGCACCTAAGTGTAAAAGAAGCAAACGATCATTATAACTATTGGTGATACTATTATTAGTAGTAGTGTTACTGTTGTTGGCATTACTAGTTGGAATGGTGTTTACATTATTGATGGAAGAACATGTTAAATTCCATAATGTTCCGCATACATTTACTACAACTGTTAAACTTGGTGGATTACGCAATAGTTCCAATAGGATTGGATAACCATTATTTTGATGAAGTATAGACCTAAAGATAAACAGAATGGACAACAACACATTCATTATAATAAATAAGCACACACACACACACAGAGAGAGAGTGAATGCATAGTTTTATTCATTACGAGGAATCAACTAACTTATACAACTTTTAAACCGATATTCACACTCCTACTAAATTATCAAAAAGATTGTTTATTGGATTGACTGTGGAGATAAATGTTTTAAGCCAGATGTGGAGTTGTACTTACTGTGCGAAGAAACTAAGGACACTCGGTTGATTAAAGGAAAATAAATTTAAAAGACTGTTTGAACTTGTGAATCGGTGTTCAAAAATTAAATGATCGAGTCATTGCTGAACAATTCCACCTAAATCTTACAACTAAACATAAAAAATAACTTATTGACAGCTGTACATAAAAGTATCTGTAAGTGTGAAATATGTAACTTATGAAGACAGATATAAGTAGTATGTAACCACAATCAGAAGTTTTATGCCGGGCAGCAGATGATTGAATGGAATAGAACAGAAAAGAAATCGGAGAGCAATCAAAATAACAACAGACTTAAAGGAATAATGTAGTATATAAGGAACAATGCAAAGATGTGCCAATGATGTATTTCATGTGTGATTTTCTTAAGCCGCTGTGTAATTTTGAATTAAACAATAAATTAGTTTCTCACCCTTGAGTTCACTACATGAGTATTAAAGTTTACGTTTAGTGCGCAGATGGTTATTTAATCGAATAGTCATAATCTACGTAGGAATTGACATAAATGTTTATCCGTCTAGGTCGGCACATTAAGAACGTAATATCAATGACATTACAAACGTCAAATATAAAGAATACTGAGTTTAAAAATACCGAGTACATTCACTGAATGAAAAATATGAAATTATATCAAAACTTAGGATTTAAGGAATAATAGTGAATAAATTCACTTTCTTCATTAAGACTGAATATAATCCATACTACCGAGGATCTCTCTGGTCACTGATCGAAATTATCACGCGAATGTCAAAACAGGATGTCTGAGAGTACCAGAACATAGTTTGAGCGAATATATCAGGTCATCACCTTTAGAGAATGCTAGTGATATGCATTGAATAAGAGAACTTCAGTCATGTTGATTTGATGCTTACCAATTTTAGACACCTAAGCATGACTACATACAGCCAAAATGAAACTGGACATTGAATTATTTTTCTTACACTAATAACAAGTACATAATAAATTATTTAAAAAGAGGAAAACAAAACTCACCGATAATCATCATGAGAAGCGATAATTGTGGATATATTACGTAAAATACCACCACTATTTTCAATAATTACCAGATTTTGCAAAGGGTTTTGAAGACGTAACATTCTTAGAAGAAATGCAAATACACCATCCACACTTGAAATGAAAAATTACAAAGTAAAAGATTAGATTTCATGTTTAAAATGATATTGCAAACGGATATTATTACATTTAAGTAATATGTAGTTAGCAATCAAATCCAAAATAAGTGTTTCGTCCTACTTATCAACTGGATATGCTTGTATCCTAATGATATACACACTGATATTAGAACCCAGGACTTTATGCTACAAACGCCAACGCGTTAAACACTGAGTTTATAATACTACATTTTCTTCACAGAATAGTGTTAAACAAAGAATATCTGGTGACCTCGTTCGGAATTTTGAATCACATCCATCTTTTAACTGTTAAAAAAAAATATTATCTAAAGAATTTTGATTTTCTTCAACATTATTTCAAATTAATTTGAATGTTGGAAACAGACAATGTGCTTACGCAATTAAGGAAAATGTTTACTCCTAAATTCTAATTATTTCTAAGTCAGAACTAAATTAGAAGCAATTCGGTTTGAACATGTGATATAACAGTTAACATTACTGGTGCCCCACTACACTCGATAACACAACAGATTGAAAAGTATTCATTAGATTTCAGTGGGTAGAGTCCGCTCTCCCTCTCCAAACGCTCTCACATGGTCACGTGAATACAACCACTGTCAGGGAAGTCTTAGTCACTGCCTTCTCGTGACACTACTGTTGTTTACCGAATTGAGAGGATGAAAAGCGAATGTCCGACACTTTAACCGGGTTGGTGGATGTGGAGGATCTACCTATGGAAGTTAAAAAACCCTGATTCCAAACCAATGGTGAACATGGTCTCCAGGATCCTGGAGGGACAATTGGAGTATGAACCTATTGTTGGTCACCGACCACCATGGGACTGCATCTCCTGTGGGTGTGGCCACCTAAGAAAACCACCTGTTTCGGTCTGGGTACCAGGGCAATATCACAGCCCTCACACAAATCGAATGATCTATGTGGCGCATATCTATTCGGTGCCTCCTTGTACCAACGTTTATGTGTTTATATATACAATGTATTAAAATTAAGTAAATACAAGTACACTTTACCTGCATACAGCTCGCTTGTTCTGAGAACAATGAGCGCTAAGATTCCATAGTGCACTAAGTGTAGTTCGTAAAGTGCTTTCTCGCTGTGCACTCATAGCAGCTATAGTTAAACGTTTAGCAGCGCAGACACGACGAAGTGCAGCTTTACTTCTACTATCAGTACGCCAACTGAGATTGCGTAATACACTGGCTGATACCTAGAAAAACACATTCCATACAAATAATAAAGTATATCTAGAACTAAAAGGAGTTGGTTTTTATAAGAACCTTATATGAATAAATACAATAATATTTAGCCAAGAAATAACACAATTTTATCGGTAGGAAGAAAGTGTTACGAAGTCAGAAATACTTTCGAAATAGAAAAGGGAATGAATCAAATAGTTCACTGACTTCAAGAAAATAATAATAAAATCAGTATACAATTAACTTTTATGAAGAGATGTATCTAACTAATCGAGTCACTTGAATTTATACGAGTGTTTAAGAGGAAAAACTTACAAAATTTCGAAGGACAGAACCGAAAAATCCTACTAATCAAGCGAAGGATTTTATAAGTAAACCAACTGGTTAGCTTGAGGAGGGATGGATACTCTCTGTAGAATTCCAACCCACGTAACCCAACATCACAATTTGCAATGTTACAACTGGTTTTGACGGAGTTGCATTTTCTGAACTAGGTGGTTTAACTGTAAAGCTTTGATTGTCTTGACAGTAACTAATTACTGAGAAGGGAAAGATGTTAAGTTGGTCTCTCAATATACTAAAGTACAGAATGTCTGTCATTGAGTACTAAATCAAAGATCAAAAAGTCTATTGTTCGATCTTGGACGGAATCATAAATGCAGTAAGAGACTTCTATTCAATGATTGCTGTGTTATTTAATGGCTATCTGGCAAAACGGTATTCAAACTAATAATGATATTATAAATTGTGAGTATGCAACTCTCAGCAATGATTTTAGTCTAGGATTTACTTTGACCAGTCACAACCATAATACCAAGTTCATCAAAACTAAATCAATGAATATTCCAATAGTCATATATGAAACACTCAAACAGATAACGCACTAAAAACACAAAAAATTTCACAATACACAGTAAAAAAAGAAACACTATTTAGTACGTTCATGTTAGTACATGGTGTACAATACAAAGTCACATCTGACTAGGTTCAATCATCATTATCACCATAACAACAAATGATTAATGACCGAAAACAAGAGACAAAGTGTAATTGTATAAATATCACAAGGGACAATGCAAATTAATCATTATTTCGCGCGCTTATTGATATTACATTAAGTAAAATACACAAAAAGGGTAAAATGTATGTATGTGTAAGTATATGGAGGGAAACAACGAAATCAAATATTTATTCATTACATAAATCATTATCATCATACCCTTCGATACTTTTCTTTTTAGTTTCAAAGTACATTTAGTGTACAGTATAGTGAATGTTTTACTAATCAGTTTCACTTGAATACGGTTGTAGTTATCTATTATTGTCTATTATGAACTTATTCAGTGTGATTTAGTCCGAAATGTCAGATGGAAAACACAAATATAGTAGGGAAAAAGTTAGAGCTGAAAACTAGATCATCACTGGAAACAATTTAAATTGCTGGATACAATACACTTAGTGAACATACTGAGGACGTTGTGGATTACTTCAGTCATTGTCAGAACTCATTTTGTATTGGTTGTTTAAATCTTCCCAATGATGTTTGGGATTGCCATGGATTAGTCTCTTATTGGTATACGTGCATCCTGTGAGGATTGCTTCGATATTGGCCTGTCGTCTTACAGATGCATGGTAATTAAGTATCATAGTCCAAATATGATTAGAAAGTTGAATAAGGACACCATCAACATTTAATAAAGAATTAGTGAAAGCATTCCGTGGAGATATAAACAACCATAATAAACACTTTTTAGTGGGCCTAATTCAAATGATGTCTGGTCATAAGTTGTGAACCGATAACGAGTTAACATACTTCAATATGTGTATATTTCTTGGAGTGATAGAAATCAATATCTGAAAACCTCAAAAAATCATCTGTACAGTTGTATTCTATGCTAATTACGTTTGCAGATATAAGTAGTCTGTAACACCAGTCGGAAGTGGAATATCTGTGAACAGAAGGTTGAGAAGATTGAAATAAACAGGACAGATAAGGAAGCTGAAATTAGTCAAGACAACAACAAGAATGAAGGAACAATGAAGCTTGTGAGAGACAATTCGAAGATTATATGGACATATGATTTTAACATTGTGTGATTGTGCATTAAACAATAAATTGGTCTTCCCAACTTGAGTTTTCGTTTACCATAAAGTTAGTAAAGCAATGAATTAAATCTTGAAAATTTCAAGGTTATTTATGATAGTGATAAACATAGTTGGGTAAGACTAGATTTGAATCTGTATGCCAACCACTACCACTACTGCCGAGATCTATCATAGAATTCCTCAGCAGTGTGCACCAATGATTTCGGAAGGGATCGAATCTACAGAGTTTCAAATCTCTGAGATTTTTTACAATATCCAAAAGTGAGATTATTCTGTGACAAATATATAATTTGCAAATTAAACCAATAGGCTATACAGTAAAGAAACAATTAAATATACGTAAATATATAATCATGAAAACAATTCATCCATTCACTCCATTCATTCATAATAATTGCAAATAATAATAGTAATTGAAATGGTCGTTCTGATGGATAAAATGTTCTAGAAAATGGATTTTGATCAAAGTGTATCCAACATAATTATTCTATAAAAAATAAATCATTGTCGCACTTTACACTTAGATTACCTGAATAGATAACAGCAATAGTAATAATGACAATAATAATAATAATAATAATAATAATAATAATAATAATAATAATAATAATAATAATAATAATAATAGAGCAACTTATACGTTTTCTTCGCTCTACAGCATAACTTCTGCTCACTACTTACCAATAAAATGATAATAATAATTTTCGTCCTATTTGGGACTGGTCGACTGAATGTACAATTTAATGTCATAATTCTACGAATAATGTGAGATACTACTTTTCTAAATCATCGAATGACTTCATTTGGGAAACCAGTAAAACCCAGAGAGAATCGGGTTGAGAAAGTTCAAATATGATAGAGTGAGTAAAACATAACAATATGCTATAACTTGTGACTTTATGTATTATTATTATATAACCGACCAGACCGATAACGCACAAATCCCTATGAGCAGTCTACAGTCATTATCGGTCCTTCTTTCTGATTAGCCCTGCCTGTTGAGATCATGACACTAATCTCAGCCTTCGTGATATGAATCAAGTATTTCAAATATACTGGGTTTACATACAAACCGAGCAGACTAAATCACACCGCAAAATGAAAAATAACATTTGCACAAGATTTGGCTGTGAATGTTGGAGAATGTAATTAATAGACTAGGCATAACTTAAGAACGATAAATCGCATAATAATAGTCTATCAGTCAAAACAGAGCTTGTAATAAGAGGAGTATAGATATATATAATCCAGTTGCTGAATAGTTATACAATAAGAATATACGTACAATATTAGTCCATAAATAGTTCTCAGAAGTTTCCATTCATAATTCACGTCGGGATATAACACAATACATAACAATGAATACACTGTATGTTGTGATATGAATAAAGCTGTAAATCTGTGACCATTAGATTCTAACTTAGTGATACAGAAGTAATGAATATGGCAAGACAGACGAAGGTTCCGGGTTCGGCATTGATGATGAGGAAGTTCCACGATTGATATCATTTCGTGATGAATACTCACATTTTGCGTTAAACTAATCTCAGGATTTATTCAACTAACGTACAAAATCTATTGGGTTTATCGAGATTTTTCTCACAATATGATATATCCGGTGAAAGTGAATAGCGATTGAGCGTGGACAGAGAGACTTTTATATGAAACAATATATATTTCTTCAACTCTTTGTATTTGTGATATGACGGAGGAATAAAAAATACTCTTTTTTTTTGTGGTGTAATACTATAATGTGACCGATGACTGATACTTTGCTACTAGACTGAAAACTTGGTCGATAGTCTATAGACAGACTAGTTCATGTTATACCAGATACAACATTACCGACCAAATATAGAGAACCCAAACTAAGATTAGATAATGCTTTTTCCAACACACAACCAGTTAAACTGAGTGAGTAAATAGGAAAATAAATCACATAGTTGATGGTCAGTAAGATGAGTGTGATTTTCCACACTCAGAAGCCTATCACATTGACTTTCATCAGCCACATATTAATTTGTTATAATAGACTTTGGTTCTGACCTACATTTGAGTCTTGCTTATTGATAGGATAACTGACTGTATACATTACATTTATATTTCTTCGATAACTAATAAGCTCCAGAAAACATAATTTGTAAATTTCAACAATATTTATAAAACAACAATACTAACTGTAATAATGTGATCACTAGTGATTCATGGAGCTCCGGTGGAAAGCTGTGATCAGTGGAGTTCAACCATCTGGAATGTGAAACAGTTGTCCACCGATAACATTATAAGGCGATTGTACAATATCACGAATAAATTGAAGTTAGAAATCTACACGATTAAACATCAACTAAATGGTCCGAATTTCATGTATTGAACTCTTTGAAGAGTTGCAGATGTACATTGTTGAAGAATCCCATACTAAGACGAGACTACTGTTCGATGCTTTGTGGTTTTAAATGGTTATGACAACCTGGGCTAAACATATATACGCTAAATTATAAGTGAGATCTGATAACAAGTTCACACCAGTGGTCAATATTCGACCTAAATTTCAGAGTGAATAGGTATATGTTATTCAATGAATATACGACTTGATTTTTTTGGTGGGGGGGGGGGAATGGATCTGTATTTTTATGACTTAGTTATGCCCACACTTTCGATTACGGTTAGTCAATAAAATATTCTTACTCATTTCTAGTTGTATCACACAAGCAACATATAGGAAATTTTTATACCAAGTAGTAGGATCAGATAACACTTCACTTCTATCTGAAGCTTGTGCTGATGTCGTTCAGAAGAACGATGAAAGCTCCACGACCAAACCATCCAGCTCAGAGAACAAAACTCCACCAAAATCATCCACCTGAGCTATAAATCTTCTCCACCATCTCAACATAAATTGTTAATTAAACAACCATTTATATAAATATTGAAGAAATATCAGCAATATTTTAAAGAGATTACCTGTTTCAATTCTTCATTTCCTGTTTCTAATTGAGCTAATAATGCTTCCAAATTAGCTAAACGTCTACAAATAAATGCTTTATTCTCTGGTGCTGCATAAGTTAAATTTGTTAAAGCCATGCATATATATCGTCTCAATGCTAAACTATTCTCTAGTAATGTGACAAAGTTTTGATTATGTATAAATGATGATGATGTTGATGATAATAGTAATACTGTTTTATTATTATTATTATTATATGAATTCATATACTCTGACCACATCATTTGTTCTATACGTAATAAAGAAATTAAAGCATGAACTCCACCTAGATACAAAAAAGGCGTAAAAGAGAAAAACCGACGATGAAAAATTTAAACTACAACATGAAAAAAGTAGTTTATTTCACTAATTAGTTCATCAAAAAAAATTGTAATCAATATATTAGCGCACTGCTGAGGAGTCCCATAATAGGACGAAACGGCCGTCTAGTTCTTCCAGGTTTTTCATGGTGGTTTAGCTTCAACTTAACCATTGAAATTACTATAATATCCACAAAACCCCATCTGATATTAGCTTCAGTACAAATGTGAAGTAAGCTCAATTTATCATGATTTCAATCTGTGAAATTTCTAAAACTCTTCACAAAACCCATTCTGATTATCATATAGGATTAAAAAAATAATTTAAGTAGTCAATTCAATATGACGAGGACATTGACAAAGTTTGACTTTTACATATATGTGTTCATGAGATACTAGCATAGTACACTGGCAGTATTGCAGTATATATAGTGTTTGGTATAGTGACTTAGTCAACTATTTCTTAAGCATGTAATTAGTAATATAATTTAGATATTTCTAGGTTTATGAAAATTTCTTACGTTGATTCACTGATAGAATTCGCATGATTGTTAATTCTATCAATACATCAATCGGCATAACGAGGGCGTCATTATTTATCAGAAAATTTGAATGTAAGGAAGGAACTTCCTATTGTTCTGACTTATCTTCTAAGAATGTTAAGTCCCCCAGGAAACTACACACTTATTACATTTATTCTATGCATGTGAATTCCCTTTTTCTTTAAGCCGAATTTCACAAAGAAAACTTCATCGTGCTTTTTAAGAGCTATCCCAAAACAGTCTCATTACGAGAGTATAATAATTAAGTATGAGCACATCTGATGAATGAAAATTAATGTAAGCTCATTTTACCCGAATATATCATCCACCTTTTTTTTATCTGATTGGTATTTTAGTTGTTGCTAAACAACATAGATGATACAAACTAAAAACAAACTAGTGTTCAATGTTCCAATTATAGAAGGATAATGATATGTGATAAGCATTAGTTTCCCGACGTTACCGCTACCTTGACGTGGTGGTCGGGCTTGCCTATCATGATGAATCAATTGAGCTATACTGGTTGGAACAATCATTCCTCAAGGTCCAACCATGTCAGACAGGTCGGTTGAAGAGCGGTAAGCAACAAACCCAAGGTCCGAAGGCGAAGTCGTACTGCTGAATGTGACAGCAGTACGGTGTTTCCTTCAGACAACCAGCATAACAGCGATGCTGCCATCTCAGAAGGAAGGGTAGGGTGAGAAAAGATCGACCCTAAAAATGCACACCTCTCCTTATCCCACGGATAGCCAGCTCCGGTTGTAAGGTCTCAACAACTACGGAGCTAACACGACTACTAATTGCAAAAAGGTTATGTGTGACCCGGCCTCTAGTATTTGTTCCTTGAGCACTCGGTCACGGTTTCAGGTCACTAAGACCACCTCTAATCCAATTTCCTTTTCAGGTACCTCTAAAAGAACCCTTCCATGGTGTGGGCAACCGGGAGGTGTTAAACGTCCTCATACCTTTAACAGCACTACAGATCACTGTATTCATAATCGATCTCCCTCATCAATCCCTATTATTCCTCTCACCTCAAATTTCAAATCTAAACTTCCTCAAACATAAGTTTACGAATGTGTTTAATCACTAGCGGCGAGACCCTAATTTATGCACGAACCAATCAGATTTAGAATGACAGTGTTGTAACGTGAGATGCTGCAGATTGGAGGTTAGCGAATTATCGATCGATCCAAAGACGTGTAAGACACGTAGGAACGACCTAGAGTCCCGATTGGCCCTGCTCCCCTGTCTAGCCCAGTCGGTTGAGTCCGGAACGCAAGTCTCAACCTCAGCGATATGAATCATTATATTTCAGACATACTCTGTTTATATACCAATCAAACAGACCACATCGTACCATAAAATAGAAAACAACATTTGTACAATATTTGACAAGTGAAATAAATATTGACCAATAGGAAATGTTCATTTAAAGTCCAAGGACACTATTAGACTTAACAGGATAATTATTGGGATATTTTTCTGAATATCCCAACAAACAGGTCTAAGATTTTAACGCGAAATTCACTCATCATTTGACTAAATAGCGTTTTGGCATTATAGCTGATGTCAGTTCGTGATGAAAACCATAAATCTAATTCTTAAACCTAACCATCAACTGTAAATCATAATTCTAATTACTCACACTGGTTTATAACCCTCATTTAGTCCTAGTTAGTATGTGAACATTCTCAAGATCACTTTAGAGTCGCTCAAAGGTCGTTCATGAATTATAGTCTTACCTAACAAACTGATAATGGTCAGTTGAAATTAAAGGTTAGACTACATCTAGTTGAGATAGCGAAATCATTGGTTACTTTCAACATGATTTTTAAAAGGACCGTTAAAGTACAAGTGGATGAATTTGCTGGAATTACTTTTATTGACTTGTTTGATTTAACTGTATACCTTTCGTCATGGTTCCGAACAACATTATCAACGCCAACTTCAATTAGAAATGAAGTTTCTAGAAAATTATTTGACAATCACTAAATTGATCCATTTTGTTAATTAAGTTAGTAATTGATTTCTGTCACACTCTTTTTTAAATGTTTACTTTACATTTATATTGTTCTGTTAAGTTGATCTCTCATTATTATAATAAATGGGATCTATTTCGACATTTCAAGTCTTTGCTAACTATAGAAATGACTAAAAAGCAACCAACAGTATTGTACATTAAATACTCACAAACTTGAGTCAGTATGATCTTGGAGTGACATAATAAACACAAAGAATCATTGAAAATTTTCAGTACAAAAAAAAGACACATGAAGCATAAATTCCGGTCTCAGAACATACCTAATTCACAAATAGCATTTCGATGCATTGAATCAAATGATAAACGAACTAAGGCAGCAACTTCAGCAACTGGACAAACAGTACATGACTCTATATTCAACATTGTATTATTATTATTACATTTTATATTGATCATTGTATTCCTTATGGTTTCATTATTATTAGTAACGTTATCACCAGTATTGATATTATTATTATTATTCGTCTGTGCAATACGTTCGCTTAAATTTAAACTGTAACTATGAATGGAAGTTAACAACTGAATAATTCCCATATCTCTTCCATATAATTTTGAATCTGGTTGACATAATGGAGCAAGTTTTTGAATTGCCTGAAGTTAAAATTAAGAAATAATATCAAAACATTTATATATATACTCAAAATTTACATTTCTGAAGTAATCACAGAATAGTTAAGTCTTCGCTTCGCTAGATATAGACCATATTCGAGTGTACTTGTGTAGATTTGTCTCAGGTTAATTGCTAATTACAGAAACTCTAACAAATACAGCCGTCAAGCTTGATTAGTGTGACAATCTATTCGAGAATAGTAAAACCAGAAGAAAAATCTAAGGATTATAATATAAAGTCAAGCAGTCAACTGTACGTAGAAGGAGGATGATTCCCATAAACAACCAACATCTGCAGAGATCATGTTAAAGGTTCGATCGACTGGTAGTTGTGATGGTCTGTGTATATGGGTGTCAAGTTAGGTTCGTGTATAAGTAACTTTATTTTGAGCTTTTTGCAACAACAATAGAAAGATATGTTGTTCCAAACAAAAATACATTTAAAATACAATACTATGCACGCTATTGAGTTTAACCTTAATTATTGATGTACAACATAGGGTTCTAGCGTTCATTGTTTAACTGATTATTATAAATTGAACATACAGTTTCGTTCAGTGGTGTGTGTGTGTGGGAGTAATTGACACCAGAAGTAAATAAATATATTACTGATTGAAAAACTGAGCAAAGATGACCTCTCAGTAATGTTGTGTTATTATTTCACTAGAATTTTCGTGTTGCTAAACTGTAAACAATGTTAACCCAGTTCATTCAGATACAAAACTATTTGTATTGGTTTGCTTTAGGATAGAACATCTACCTCCATATCAATTATCGAATATATAAAATAATCATTATCGTAATGATTCGAAAAGAGATTGTCCTTAAAAATATTTATGTATACAATCTCAATCAGTCAGATACTAATCACAATCAGTATTAATCATACACAGACATACATAAATGCACATAGGAACAAAGGTCACGTAAATTGGTTAGTAGCAGTTGGTTGAAATCGACTAATAAATTCATGACGTAACAAATAATAGCCATAATACAGAGCAAAACGAACATTAAAAAATTCATAAATAGTGATAAATCTTCTATCTGAACGCTTGAATCGGTTTCCTAGGCTCTTCTAATAACCTTAAACTAAATCTACACGACAACTTGAATGTGAGAGGAAAGATGTGTAATAGGTAAAGAATGATTTACTCCAAGTTTGTGTACAGAAAAATCAAGTGTATTTATAACATTCCAGATGACCTTGAGCTTCTGAAAGGTTCATGAACACTACCAAACATAGATCTTCAATGGTTGTCTAACTTAGATAGGGTTTGTGATTTTGACGAAATTCAACAATCTTCACAACCAAAATCTAACTACTAAAGTTCTGTTAAAAACAATGAAAACGAATGTGGTTTAATTTTACCGTGACATACCTCCATAGCAGCAGCTTTCAACTCCATCAAAGATGTGTTCGGTGGTAGAATCTTGGAATCAGTTAAATTAATTTTACTGAAATTATTGCTATTACTAATAAGACTACTATTGTCAGCATTGTTAATCGACGTATTTGTATAGTTTGTTAAACAGGAAGTTTTCTCTGATGTGTTATCATCGATTTTTGTCCAGTTGTTCTTTCCATATGAATAACCTGTTTTATTGGTGAAAGATCAGAGTAGTTAGACAAGAAAGGAGAAATATTTTCATAATAAATGAGAATATAACAAATGTTAGAATTTAATGTAACTCATTATTAAGTACAGGTTTATTATGTGATCAATCTGAGTTACAAATTATTTGCGTGATGGCCATAATGATACAACTCTTTAGCTAACCAAATCAAAGTAGATGTAGTGAAGTTTCAACGTACAACCTTACGGCTGAGTCGAATGGTTTAATCATTACCAAAAGTGTATTCACTCTTAACCTCGGTCTTTATTTTATCTGAGAATTTTTTCATTTCCCCCTTAATCATATTGCCTACACCTATTCGTTTCTACTATCACTGATACCACATCTACTTTGACTGCTGTCATTTATCTTGATATCTTCATCCTTCTGTAGTGGTGTTGAGGCAAATTGAAAAGATGCACATACATACCAGGTTATAGGTTGTTCATAACTGAGTATTCATTTATCTTTGATGTATGCTGCTGTTTGAGAAACATAGATAAAAACTGCGATGAATGAATCGGAGTGAAATCAGGAATATCGCCTTTACAAAGCGAAGTATAATCAACAAAAATGAGAGGGAAACAGTAAAAGTCTAATTCTTAAACCGGGCTAGCAGACACATATTTTCAGCAAGAGATTGAAAATTTTGACACTAGAAACTAGCGGTAAACATTGGTTTCAAAGTTTTCACAGAAATGAATCTGTTGAGGAAAATTTCTTGCTTTTTGGATTAGCACTCTGAGTCGTTAAGTTGCAAGATGTTTTCTTGCTTTGAGTTGGTACCCGGATGATAACATAATCTTTTTATGAACTATGTTTATAGTAAGGACTGGGATTATTTAAGGAACTGGGATCAGTGTTTATCTATTCTAAGAAATAGATAACTGATAGTACTGAACGACGGCATCTGTTACACTACAGACTGACTGTATTGAGAAATATGGATTATGTTATAACTTGTGACCGCTAATGAGGGAACAGTGACTTATCGATCGGATCAATAACGCGTAAACCCGTATGAGCAATCTGGAGTCCTTATTGGTTTCGCTTCCTGTCTAGCCCAGCCAGTTAAGTTCAAAACACCAATCCGAACCTCTGCGATATGAATCATTATATTTCAAACGTACTGAGTTTATATATCAATCAAATAGACCATATCGTACCATAAAATAGAAAACAACATTTGTACAAGATTTGGCCAAATGTGGCTGTGAATGTGGGAGGTAGTGATTAATAGACAGGGCATAATTCAAGAATGGTAAGACGTATAATAATAGTTTATGGGTCAAAATAAAGCTTATGGTAAGAGAGACATATGAATAGTTTAGTTATTTAACAATTATACGATAAAAATATACGTGTAGTAATTGGTCGACAAATGGATCCCAAAAATTACCACTCATTATTTTTATCGGGACATAACAGACTACGGTTGGACGACCTAAATATACGACATTCATCGATAGATTTACTAATACTATGATTGATTCCTAGCCACCAATCTTAAGGGGCTGTGACAATTTCTCAGCTGATGTGAATGCTCATGTTGAGAAGTAACTTGAAAAGATGATATTCTTTTACTCATATATATGTGAATGATGAACACTAGGAAATCAGGGTAACATCAAATTTCAATAAAATTAGAGACATAGATGATCATTAGTTCACCAAGGGCGAATTACCATTCTTATAGTGAATATTTTCGAAAAACAACTCGAAATCAATTTAGAAAGATTTTACGATGCTAGAGAATGTCCATATGATAATTTGTAGGAATTAATATAGATTTCTTCAACAATTTATGTATCAGTCAGTCAGTCAGTTACAACGTAGAACATCGTACGTACGTACATTAGTTCGAGTTGCCATACCACATTAGCACACAGATGCAGTTATCGATTCAAATACCATAGTGGTAGAGGTATTAAAAGTATAAGCACTAATCGGAAACATTAGGGTTTGAACATGTTATTCAACGAGTATAATACAGTCAAATAAATTTGGAAAGAAAATAAAGGACATGAGTAATTCACAAGATTAGAATTTGGGAGAGCACAAAGGGTGGATGCACCTGCGCCATTGCAAACGATTTTGAGCCATGTCATTCAGGGTCTCTAACCATCAGTTGCTATCATCTCGTGGTCCCCAACCAGGTAGGCTACACCTACCAACATGACTCAGTCCACTTGTCAGTGGCTTCATGGACTTGTGCCATGTTTTGGTCTGGCCGCCCCTAGCTTTCTTCCAATCTACTCCTATACCACTGAACATCGCACGTCGAGGCAGTCGGTCGCTGGGCATACGTAACACGTCCCAGACATCTCAACTGATGAAGTTTCACTACTTCATCAATTGATTTGCCATCCTTACCTAGTACCCGTTTCCCAACAACTGCATTACTTACGCGATGGCCCCAGGATATAAAAGCAATGTTTCGAAGACACCTATGATCGAATACTAGTAACCTACGAATATCATCTACTCTTACCGGCCATGTTTCACTTCCATAAAGTAGGACGGAATAAACTGCTGCACAGTAAACACGTCCTTCAGTTGGTAGACGGATATCTCGCCTACGACATAAATGACGCAAGTTGGCAAAAGCTAGTCGAGCCTTCTGTATCCGTTCTGAGATTTCGTCACACATCAGACCACAAGGGCTGATGAGACTTCCAAGATAAGCGAAGCGATCGACACGCTCAATTACTTCACTCCCTATCATTAGTTCGGGTGTCAATGCAACCCAATCCTGAAGCAACATTTTGCGTTTCGAGGGGGAGAATCGCATCTCGAACATGTTTGCATTGTTGCTTAGAGTGGTCAGAAGACTCTGAATTGACTAAATTCGCTTCTTCAATACAGTCCCAGCATCGACAAATAATGGACGATATGGAAGTTGTTACAATGACGTTTGTAAAACACATCTAAGGCATCAAAGCCAGGATTTCAAGATGGTGACATTAATTAAATCCTCATCACTGCACCCAATCATATATTCGCTAACCTCTACATGAATAACATAGTATTGCTACCGGATGACAGCAATCCTTCAGAGCAACGATCACAGAACAAAGATAGTCACCAAACGTCTTGAACTCAAAGATCACTGTTTATAAATAAAACTGGTCTGAATAACATGTTGTACATTCAACCTTTTAGTTAGACTAGTATCACAATAGCGTCAAAGATAGTACAGATTGCAATAAAATCGACTTGGCTTTCAACATTCATAAATTGATCCCATCTATCACCTACCACCAGCTAAAAAAAATTAACTCATATTACTATAAGAAATCAACGAAAATGTAATTGAGTCATACATAAGAAGTTTACCTACCCAAAGACTGATTGAATTCATTAAGATTAGAATTAAATGATGAAGGAAATTCCATGTAATTATTGTTATTATCTTCATTATTATTAATACCATCATCTTCTTTTTCATTAGTCAATACATTCATCGTATATTCTTCATCTTCAGTATCTTTCATTGTTTGACCATCATCTATTGTAGTTTCTTCTTCATAAACTGTATCACTATATAATATTCTTATTAAATGTGTTAATATTCGACGGGAAAATTGTGCCACATACATATTTGTATTTATATTCATTGGAATAGTTTGTAAACAATCTGTTTTAGTTAACCAATTCAATAAAAATATATGAAATGTATGAATTTCTGATGGATTCATATTTTCGGTAAAATTAGTTTCTGGATGATGCCATATTAATAAGTTAAGTAATGCTTTAATTACTTCTTTACGACTATTATTATTATTATTGTTATTATTTATAAATGATTGTTTCGATGAATATTGACAATTTTGCTGTTGTCGTTGTTCATTGGAATTATTATTTGTATTGGTCATCAAAGAATTGATCGTCGATGTCAATGGTTGATAACTATCACCATTGGATGATGATGATGATGATATTCTGATAGATTGATTTTGATATTGTTGATTTGATTGTTGTTGTCTTCTATGTTGATGCTCTTGTTGTATAGAACGTTTTGGGATTGATATATCAATGTGAGAATTATCAACTGAATAGTTGATATCAGTAGATGATTGATCTAGATTAATGGAAAAAGAAATCAATATCGTTATCTATTAGTGCAAATTTCTGAACTCATCCTACAAATTGTATTTTTAAAGAAATTACATCGCTTTTATGAAGCAAACTAGTCATAGTGTTTAAGAATTACCTCAATTCAAAAGTGCGTAATGATGTAAATCTTTGATTAACTTAAATAATCAGTGTTACTTTAAATAACTAACGTGATATCAATCCATAGATTACCTAATCAAGTATTTTCTTGAGACAGCTTGAATGATACAGTTTGGAATGTGACCACGTAGAAAAATGTATTCAATTTTTTATCTTCGACATGATTTTCATTATTTATTTTAACACATAGATATTGGTACAAGGAGGCACCAAATAGATATACGCCACATAAACCTAATTTGGTATGTATGAGGGCTGTGATACTGTCCGGGTACCCAAACCAAATCATGTGGTTTTCTTAGGGAGCCACACCCAGAGCCATTGACCTAAATGTCTGATCCGCAAGGTAGTGAAGCATCGTGAGGAGATGCAGTCGCATGGTAGCCGGTGACCAACGATTGGTTACTACACCATTTGTTCCTTCAGCATACTGGAGACCATATACACCATTGGTTTGGAACCAGGGTTTCCCAACTCCCCTAGGTGGACTCTCCATGTCCACCAACCCGGTTAAAGGGCCAGACATTCGCTTTTCGTCCTCTCAATTTCGTAAACAACAGTAGTGCTACGAGAAGGCAGTGAGTAGAACTTCCCTAGTAGTGGTTCTATGCACGTGGTTACTTGAGAGCATTTCGAGAGGGAGAGTTGACTCTCCCCACTCTTGGCCGTACCCGAGCATTTGGGGGCTCCGACGTGAACAGTATTTAATACGTAATATTTCTCGAAATGTGGGTGTATATAAATATTTATTTTATTTTCTTGATTTTTGTTATTTGTGACATTATGAAGTGTACAATTTCACCAGTTCATACAGTATTTATGATCTATATCTTCGAAAGAATTTTCATATAATAATGAAAAACATATAAACTCACGCAACTGACTTTTTCTATTAAAGTTCGAGTGTGAATTTAATTCAAGGGAACCATTTGGAAGTGATGAATGTGTATTGCTATAAGGACTAGTATGGAACGTTTGATTAATACATGATTGTTGGTTCGCATACTGAGTAGTAGTGGGGTTATCAGAGAATGTGTTCACTTTGATTTGAGTACATGAAGATGGTGGTTCGTGATCATACTGAACACATGGTCGACTCGTTGTATTATCGTTTATTGTAGGTGCTGAAACTGATATTTTACCGATCCAACTGCCACTACGAGGCGGTGGAGGTGGTGGCGGTGGCCGAGGACGCCTAGAAGGTTGATGACTGACTTCACTTGAAAGTGAAAAAAAAAATGAAATATCATAATGCAAATAGAATTATTTTTAATTTTGATACAATTCTTGTATTATAACCAAAAACATTCCCAGTAGAATGTATTCGTCGTAGATTGATCTCAGCTGTGATGTAGTGAACAAGAACACCAGTGGGAACAATCGAATGTATTTAACACAAAACTACAGGACTTGTTAATAAAATCTAACAATCATAAAGTAAATGCTTAATACGCAAAATGTCCACAAATTGTCTCAAAATAACTCAGACTTCATTGTTCTTGCATTTCCATACAAATTGCATTCTGTTCCCATTCTTTACTGTTCGATCCTATTGTCTTTCTGCTGCCAGACCTTCTGTTCACGACTAACATCATATTTTACTTATGTCAATATAAGTAGCACACACCACAGTGATACCGCTGAAAGCCAAGAGGTAGTTGTTTTGTCTGTGTACGATTCAGAAGAAGCGACTTACATTAAATAATGAAACTAGTTTAAATTTTTTTGTTATACTTTTGGTCTATTTTGTTGAATTTCAATATGAGGTATCTTTTTTAAATAACTTAGATTAAAGGTGGGTTTAACTACTAATGTTTATACTACATGGTGACAACATTTCCAATACTGAGAGTGTGAACAATAACTAAATAAACGTTGAATCAAATCGACGTGAACATGAAAACTTGTAAACCGATATTTGCGAAGGCATCTAGTTATACAAGTTGTTGGTATTCTCTAGGGGAATATTTACCACTATCTGTAAATAAATCATCACCGAATTCATTCATATGAGGTTGACATATTATGTTCAACTCTAAAGTAACACTATTTACTAACTACAAACACACCTGTCTAATACTTTCGGCATATCAAACACGTTGTTTCAAAGTAAGTTGCTTCATAATTGAAGAGAGTGAATAAGATGAAATCGAATGTGAGGACAATTGTCCACTTAACGAGTATGAAAAGGGTGAAGAATAAATTAAAAACATTAGAAGGATATAATAGCATCAAATTACCGTTAGAGCCATAGAACAATCATAGATTGTTTGATTATTCACTTAAAACTTGACTTATTTAAAGAATTAAAAATCGGTAATTTTATACTACATTTAATTAAACAATCAGGTTATCTTATCTATCTATTAAAAAAAAACATAACGATTCACAAGTATTCAACAGTTATTTAATGAGTTGCACTGAAAAAGCCACGCGTATACAGCCTCTGCCAGGGAAGTCCTAATCACTGCCTTCTCGTAGCACTACTGTCGTTTACGAAATTGAGAGGATGAAAAGCGAATGTCCGGCGCTTTAACCGGATCCCAAACCAATGCTCCACATGGGCTCTAGTATCCTGCGGGAAAAATGGCGTTTGAACCAATCGTTGGTCACCGGCTACCATGGGACTGTATCTCCTCACGATGTTCCACTGCCTTGTGGGTCAGACCTTTAGGTCAAAGGCTCTGGGTGTGGCTCCCTAAGAAAACCACCTGCTTCAGTCTAGGCACCGGAGCAGTATCCCAGCCCTCACACAAATCGAATGATTTATGTGGCGTATATCTATATGATGTTTCCTTGTACCAATGTTTATGTGTTTAAATAAATAAATAATTGACATAAAAATCGATTGTTAATTATTTATATTTAGCTTACTTTATAGTTATGTATTAAACTAAACAAAGAAATTACTTAATTCATCTCACTTGATGTTGTTTTATTTGTATCTTCCCATTGTTATTTAGGACTGCAATTGATCAGTATCTTATGTGCATATTGTGTGTATTGCCTCGATATTGCCTTAATTCACAAGCATTCCAAGTAAAGATGGATAGTGGGTAGCAGTGGAATTCAAGACGCGCGTTTCGAGTCCCGGAGTGAACACCAACTCTGAGATGCAGGTACATCCAGATGACGAGTCCTAGATAGGAAGAAACGCGTGTCCTGGATTCCGCTGCTAGCCACTATTCATCTTTGTTTAAAATACTTAATTCATTGTTCATAGTTAGTTATTACATAATATAATCTGAAGAATTACTGTATAAAAAGGTGAAATTATTTAATCTTATGAACTTATAACATTCATATAGATAGATAGACAGATACAACAGAAAACTTATAATTTTCTCCTGCTTCAGTTTGGACACCCGGGCAGTATCCCAGCCCTCACATATTTTGCATTATTTCCTTTGTACTATTGAAACTTGTGTTAATTTAATATCGGTTATTCATCAACTCTGAAGAAGTGACTAACATTAAGTCACGAAATGTGAGAAATACAATTTTTCTACTCATTGGGATATAACAAAAATATATTTACTATTAACTCTCCACCTAATGCTCAATTTATTTGAAACTATCAAATCCAACTTTGATATGGATACCTATTTATAATTTTTCTGTATTTCTTACGAAATTTTATATGAATTGAATATAATAACACACAAACACTGGCTTTAATAGTTGTAGACAAAATCCTGAAAAGTGCACAAAAGCCGGTAACGCTGCTATAACAGGAAAAATGCCAATCTTCACAATGTTAGCATTATAGTGTAAGAATCTTCTTCATAAGATACGATGAGCTAGTGTGGAACACTAAGTATGATAAAGCTTAAGTCGCAGAAGCATTGTATGATTTGGTGTCTAACGGATTTTGTGGATTGTGGAACTATCGTTACCTCTAGACTGAACTAAGATGTATCACTTTGGAGATTAACTAATTTTTGACACTTATTAACCATTTCGTTGAGCGTCAAATTTCAGTCTTCATCCAGATGGCTCAGTAGACATGTTCTGTTCTAACATCGGTGGATATTTGAAACTGCAGGATGCAAATGAAAATTAAGGCTTAACTTCAGCAGGCGACTTTTCATCTGGGACAATAGGGTTGAGCGCAGTTTTATAAACTGTTAAAAGTCTTGTTATTATCTCATTTGCCCCCCTCATCTCCCCCTTTCAGTAGTTTTTTTTATGTGTCAACAAAGAGCTCTACATGTCCATTTGACTGAGGGTAATAGGAAAGAGAGCGTATATGTGCAAGTTCATTAATGCTGTAGAAATGCTTGAATGATTCCAAAGTGAATTGTTAGTCATTGTCGGTCACGAAGGTCTCTGGAACTCCGAAATAGCTAAAGAACTCAGATAAATTACCGATTGTTTGACTAGTTGTGAAATTTGACATAGCAAAAATTTCTTGCCATTTTGTGAGTGCGTCCACTGTGACTAAAAACACTTTTCCTCGTACTGGGCCGGCAAAATCTGTATGCAGCCTCTCCCAGGGACTTTTAGGCTTTTTCCATTATTGTGGTTGGCATTTCTTTGGATTTTTGGCTGCTTGTGGGCACGATGAACAATTATGGCATCTAGTTTCGATATCTTGATGCACTGTAGGTCAGTAAGCACAGCTTCGGGACAACGATTTCATCTTGATTTCGAGATGGCCGCTGTAGGATTGTTTCAAAACCTCTGGTGTAATGTTTTTGGAGGAACAGCGATTCTATCACCGAAAATAATACATAAATCGACAACTACGAGTGAGTCCCACCGGCGAAAATATTGTAGCAGTTCTCCTTAGAAACGACGGTTTGGCTATTTAAGATAACCGCTGACTTCGAATATCTCGTCAACTTCCGTAGCTCTGTTGATAATTTTAAAAGCAACTTGTAGACCATCAACTACGTCTTCTGATACTCCGTGAACTTCTGCTTCCGTCCCAATTTCTGCCACGAGAGTATGTTTTTCACGTTTCACTTATAAACCAGTCAGTCTGGACAAGGTGTTAGTTAGTCCAAAATCAGTAATAGGCTGGTACTTAGCCTTGAAGTCGTAGTCTAAGAGTGTAGCTCCTAATCGATGCAGTCTATTTGCTGTATATACCGGAATCCCTTTATTCGACTCACATATGGCCATCAATGGCTTATGGTCAGTTAAGAGAGTGAACTGACGTCCGAATATCATCTTGTGAAATTTCTTTACAGCGAAGATAATTGACAATGCTTCCTTTTCGATTCGACTATAGTTACTTTTTAGCTGTAGTGAACGATCTAGTTGCATGCGGTATTGCTTTCTCAGATCCATCTGGCATAGTGTGAGAAATAATTGCCCCTGTCGTAGTTCAAAGCGTCTGATGCTACTACAATGGGTAAGGATGGATCATAATAGGTAAGCAACTAGTAGCTTCTTGATTTCCTCATAAGAAGCTTGAAAATTTGTAGGAAAATCCCATTTTATATTTTTCTCCAGGTTATTTAATCGAGCACGTAAGCGATGAATGTTAGGAAAAAAGGCCCATAATAGCTAACTAGTCCCAAAAAGAGATCGTAGTGTAAGGACATCCGTTGGTCTAGGCATAGCTTTCATTGCCTGGATATTCTCTAGTTCTGGTTGTCTGTCATCTTTATCGATTATAAACCCGAGATAGCGTACTTTTAGCATGTAAAAGTTACACTTTTCTGCACGGAGCCGGAGTTCATATTCGGTTATCTGTGACAACATCAGATTGAGCATAAAATTACAGTGAATTTTTTGAATACAAATAAAAATGAATTAGAATTAAATAATTAACTTCTCAATGAATGAATTAATAGAATGGTAGTTGTCGTTAAGCTAATGATCTGACCCCATGGCGATGATTCATGAGCTATAAACATAAAACCTTCGTTTGATTTTGTATATTCTATTAAGATTAACCGCATTAGGTGACAGTGGTAATAAAGAGGCAAATATGAATTAAGTTGAACGAATTTATTTCGAGTATTTTTACTCTGACAGACGCGAAGTGGAGATGGAGAAAGTCGATGTACCAACTCATTGAGTAATAGTTGACTCAATCTTGATAAGCATGAAAGAGACAAGATTACAGACACATACGCACTAGCATACATACATGCATAAAGCATGATCAAAATCTACACGTAAATAATTGGCAAAGTCAAACATATGGGTGAGAGAAGAAGTAGAAAGATTTGAACAAATTATTTGTCCAAGGGTTAAAACAAATCACGTAGGCGAGTGATAATAGAGATTTACTACAACATTAACAAGGAGAGAAAATTAACTAGATATCTATACCCAATTACCGCCTACTCCTAGATGTTATAGTGATTGTAAAAGTTAAGAGTAGTTTGCAGGAAGTGAGTCAGTCATTATCCAGTGAGAGAGTTGTTCTCTTTTATATGCTATGTTCATCCATTAACTAAATGGAAAAATGTCCGAGAATGTTTGATATATTGTAGAAAATATATTATATCGATCTTACTTAACTATTTACTTCTTACTACACGTTAGAATAAATAGTAGCGCATAACTTAAGATACAAGTTTTAAGAATTTCAGTTATCATAGATTCATCAATTTGTACATTGTAATTTTATCTGATCTCAATCTTAACAGGTGCTCATTTGTCATTATTATAACTTCACCATCCATAAATTAATGTTTTATATAAACAGTACTTTAACCCATTTTCTTGTTTATCTAATGAGTGACTGCTGTGTATATAAGTGTAATTTTCATTAGACAATTTATTTTGACGCCCATCTTTTAAGCATACTTAGGTATGGTACATGGATATGTTTATGGCAAACAGTTGTGGATAATTCTAAAAGCCTGAAATGAAACCTTTGATGAAAATTATGCTTTAATGTTTAACACTCATTAACTAGGACTGCTTCGGTTTGGGCATCCGGGTAGTATCACAACCCTCACACACATATCGAATGAGATATATGTGGCGCTTCCTTGTACCAATATCTATGTGGTAAAATAAAATAATAGAACAGGAAAATGATCAGAATTACTTGAATACAACCCAATTAATGAAAATTGAAAACACTGCGATGTGGATGAAGTGAAGTTTGAACCTACAACTCATAAATTAAAAGTGATCATTCACTTCAAGTAGAATATATCAATAAACTAAACTCAAAATAATCATTTGGCTTTCAGTAAACAAGTATGATCAAAGAAAAAGAAGACAGAACAAGTAAAATGAACTGAATGTATATGATGAAACTATTAGAGTAAATATTAGAAAAGAAAATTATTTTAGAAACTATATACACTTACCGATATTGGGAATGTGGAATTTGTGACTGAATATTCATTATTACAGAAGGATTAGTATATTGTAATGTTTCATCAGTATTATTCATTATTGACTGAGTTGGACGATTTTTGGTCTCATATACAACGTACTGCAAAACAATGAATAAAGAGAGTATACATACATAATTTCGATCAATCTAATACCAACAATGATCGGTATTTAAATCACGCAGGCGCATACACAAACGAAGATTGTACAAACTGGTTCATTTAAAATCATTAATATATTTGTTAAGTAATAAGTAATGATTAATAATAATGTGATGTGGGCTACTTATATCGACATACGTAGTATATGACGCTATTCAGGAACAGAATGTTTGGCAGCAGAGAGACAAGAGTATCAAATAGTAAGGAATGGAAAAAGAATGTAATTTGTATGAAAATGCAAGAACAATGAAGTCTGAGTCATTTTAAGACAATTGATGAACAGTTTGCAAATTAAGCATTTACTATATAGTTCTCAGATTTTATTGAAATGCTCTGTAATTTTGTGCTCAAATACATTCGATTGTTCCCAACCGTGTTCTGTTCACTACAATAATATCAAAAGGACGAAACGGCCATCCTGTGCTTTCAGGTTTTCCATGGTAGTCTAGCTTTAATTGATTCATGATCTAAACTATTGAAATTATTACAATATCCACAAAAACTCCTTCTAATAAGATCGAAAGTTGAAGAATTAATGAACTTATGTACGAATTATGGAATTTATTTCTAGAATATGTAATAACGAATAGTTGGTTGATTATAGGATAAAATACCTTCTGAATTTCACTATTGGTATTTACTTTATAAAATATAATTTATATGTAGAGCTAGAGAACATGATGAGATATCTGTTTAGAGAGCCTGTCATACCAAAAAAAGACTGATCAAGTTAAATCCGATCAACAGAACACAAAAATATAAACTTTGATAACTCATTTATTGAAGTGAGTTGGTTGATGATTTTTGTGACTCAATAACTTAGTAGATAAAATGGTTGACATTCTAAACAATAGAACCTAGGATTGTAGTAGTATAAAAATCAACACTTGAACTTATATACACATATCAAGTCAACGAAACCCAGACAGTAAAAGAACATGAACATCTGGATTCCACTATTAACACCGACAAAAATTTAATTGATTAAGTCAACTGTTCGAGAAAATACTTCTTTCCTAATAAGAACATAGTTTTCTTATTACTGCAACAAATTTATAAAGGGAGAATGTTTAGCTGTTGGTTCGAATCAAACGTTTACATCCCTTATAAGAAATGAATCACAAGTGTCATACAAAATGAAACAATGAAGTAAAAAAAAAGAGAGAAATCATTTGAGCAAATGAAACTTTTCAGTTCTTATCAGTTTTCTTTAATTGTTACTGTCAAACTTATTACATAACCCATTATGTTAAATAACAAAAGATAAATAAGGAAACCAACTATTAGAAGTATTGCTACTTACTGAGAACATAATAGGAATAGACATAATATATGATGAATTTATCCATTAGTGTATATCACATTTACAATACACAGAAACTAATGCCAATACTTTGTTCTAATTGATTGATTAATCACGAAATAAGAGACAAGGACAGGAAATGACTGGATTTTTTTTAAAAATATGAATATATACATGCATTCAGTTTCCCCAATCTAAAAGGATTTTATTTGAATGACAGTAACAAACAAATCAGTACACATAAGCACATACATACAAAAATGTATGTATAAATGGTAGCGTATTTTGGATTACAGACATTGATTATTTGCCAATTCAAGCATTTCTAATCTTCATCCCCCTCTTCAATGAATAAGGCATTGTTTGAGGGCATGAAAGTAAACGAGAAAGAAAACAAAGATTCAATTTCATTTTGAAAATTCAAGATAAAATTCAAGTGATATCTTTGATATTTAGTTAACCTGACAGTAACAACCTACTGTGGAAGTGAACAAACTAGTTTCCAGATAAAAAGGAAATTAGGAAAAGACGATGCAGCTGTTGGATAGGACATACGTTACAGAAATCACCAAACTGCATCACGAAGCATGCACTGACTTGAAATCGTGAGAGGAAACGGAAAAGAGGAAGACCGAAGAACACACTATGCCGGGAATTGGAATCAGACATGAAAAGGATGAATAACAAATGGGAAGAACTGGAAAGGATTGTCCAGGACAGGGTTGGATGGAGAGTGCTATAACTAGAAAATATTATTTTCCTGAGAAAAGCGAGGAAAAAACAAGGCGATATATAACTAAATTGAGCAAAACTCGCGATTTCAAGGATTCATTTTTAACCTGTTAAGTGACAAGCACTACTTTTGAACTCGTATATGTATTTGTGACGTGTTTGGTATTACAGTTCTTAAAATACTCAGAGATGAACAGGTAAGACGATTGTAGCAACTGGAACCTCAATCTATAGTCTCATTGGTTAGATTAGCTGTATTTCATCCTGTTGGGAGTTTACAGGAGAATTTAAATAACAAGATCAACAACGGTGAACACAATTTCACTTTATTTTGCCTTAAAAGTTTGATACATTCCGATTATTTTTTTACAGGTTTATTCCCCATTTACAAATGTGATACATGAGACGATGAACGATTTGAAGTTGATCACTAAGTAGTGATCAATGTCATTTCTGTCTTGTCCTTCAGTAATAATCAAGTTCTATCGACCAAGTTATAGTGAGACAGCTGGTCTAAGTGGTTGGACATCAAACAGAATATGATTTGATGTCAGGCATTTTAAGGTAGTGGAGAAGAAACCATGAACTGAAGGAATACATATTTGTAATCCATTTTATTGATTCGAAAATTTTATTTTATGTGCACTTATTCGACGACTCAGTAGCATCTTTGTCTGGTTTGACTGACGTGAGTGTCACACTAGACGCCAGAGCAGAGGTAGCACTGATCGATCGGATCTCAATTCATAATCACCCACTTGTTAGAATAGAAAGCTCCATTAAAGAATAAAACGTTTGGGAAACGATTGTTTTCTGTAATCTCCGCTAATGAGCCCACAAATCGTAGTCCGGTCGTGGATGAGTTCTACCAACAATTAAATGGTATTTTCAGGAGGGTGATAGATTGTAAAACTCGCCGGATATTCAATATGCAGCTTGGGCATTTAGGAACAGAAGAGTGGCTCGGGTAGCCGATGTAGACTCGTCAGTAATACATCAGGTATCGGTAACCATCTCCTGCAGAGTTGTCAGTCACTTATACGCAACGTAGAGCCTGACATATATGTGCGTCGGTTAAAGTTTCCAAACCGCATTATCACAATGGGGTGAAGCTTTTCAGCTAAATCCCAATGTAGTGGAAGTAGTAACAGCATCAGTAGTAGTAAAAATGAGATATTATCAGATACCAACTAATTAGGATTGATTAGCCTTTCAGGATATGTAAAGCTGTTGAGGCATTCGTTATCATCAGTTCAGGAGTCGACGCAGACGCCTTGAAGCAACATTTTACATTTAGAAGGAGGGAATCGCATTCTAAACATTTTTTGCTTTGTTGCTTAAGGTGGCCAGAAAACACTGTTTTGTCAGCATCACCGAATAGGACTGCCACCTGAGTATTTTAAGTCAATAAGGGAATCTCCTGATATGATATTATTTACTGAAAATGCAGACAATGAGAGTTACCTCTAGAAGAATATCCATGACAGAGTTAAATAAAAAAAGGAACAGTGAGAAAAACTGAACACTACTTGTTATTGATAATTCTGATGACAATTCCCTATGAGATCTAACTTAACCAGTAGTGTTTAAGTAGAAAACCTGGACAAGGTTGATGTTTTTCTTTGGTACGTCGTCCAGTGACAGACACTACCACGAAACTCTTCGATCTAAAGAGTTGAGTGTTGTCTTAAGGTCGAGAAAAAACAACTATGGCTGGGAGTCAATAAACATGCCTTAGAACCTGATGAAGAACGAATATTTGGTTTGACCATACAGCCTGATTTTCATAAATTTGCTCTTCAAGAGCTAGGGTTAATATTCTAGATGCCACGTTAGTTTGATTCATATGTGGTTATCACAATGGGATTTCTGTTATTTCTTATAGACTGGAAAAGATCAGTTGTCAAGACTAGTCAGTGCAGATCAATTCCCATATCCTAGCCAAAAGCTCAGTCAATCTGGTTTACCAATATAATCATTTCATTAAAGCTATAAAAATCGATTATAGACAACACTTGTCCTTCCTAATTTTAAAGTTTTATCAGCATTGTCAATGAATTGGTTAAGCAATTTGATATTACTTTTCTTGAAATTTTTTTTTCTAATGTTAATGCAAACACACATGCATTCACTTGTTTTTACATGACAAAAATCTACTTCATTTGATACACTGAATGGACAGATGAAACCGTGTTCAACATTCAAACTAACTAGCTAATTACTAACCTATTATAGTGAACATTATCAATATCTATCACAACAAAACATCAAAATTAGTTTAATATTCTTTAAACATTGAAGAAAATTGAACGTTGGTTAACATGTAAGAAAAATATCACAGTGAATCATCGGTACGATTATTAGTCGCACTTTACACAGTCTAGAAAGTTCTTAACTAAAGCAAATTTTAAACACCGAAGGAAGTGATTTGACATTTATTTATTTGGTAAAAATGGTAGAAAATAATAAACGATGCTGACAGCGAAGCAATAGAAGTATAGAACCATGACAAACATGAAGAAAACAATTATTGAACAGAGGTATATCAATGTGACATAAATCCACCTACACACAAACCAATAATATTAAGTGGCTGTTTATGAATAGACGAATCTTCATTACATATTTCTATTGATTGATTAAGAGTTAGCACAATATCCTTGATTCAAGTTTTGTGCTAGTTAGTACTTATCGGTGCGGTGTAACTAAAATTTGGGCGAACCGAAAATTTATTTTCAAGTTTTAAACCTTTATGCCTGTGTTATTTGGATTATGATTTGATAGAATGCTGTAACTGAATAAACAGTAACACAATCTACTAATTTATACTGGCCAGCATTGGTTAACAAATAACACGATTAACAGTAACTAAAAATGATGACGATTTCCAAGATTATGAAATTTCACAAAGTTGTGCATTTTAAGATAGGTTGAAAAAAATACTTAAAGCACTCTGGTTTTTAGTGATATTTTGGTTGATAACAGTTAGCTGTAAAAATAATCTCAGTATTACACCTCATTTTTCATGTCCACATGTTGTATTTTATTGCATATGCAAACTAGGAAGAGCAACCCATCGTATAGGATTGGTCAAGGTTAGTTCACAGATTGAACAGAGGTGGTTAAAAAGTGCGGTCCTTAACAGACACAAGCTATAGTTTATTTAAGAAGCTGAAGAACACAACTTACATTTTTTGTAGAATTGGGTGCAATTGGATAGCCCGTAATAGGCAAACCACTACTAATATTCGGTTGAGAATGTGTAGAATTGTTCCGATAACAGTCATAAGATGGATATGAAGTAGTTGTTCGGATAGGGGATTGCGAATAATGGGCAAAGTGATTGCTTGATGAATTAGGAAAACGTTGTATAGATGGGCTAGGAAGAATCACATTTTGATAAAGATGATGTCGACTATGAGCCAAGTTATACTGCTCATTTGAATTTGGTTTGGACACATCATGTGTTGTAGGCTGATGATATGCTGATTGGGATGATGAACTTAATGACTGTGATGAATGAAAAGTAGTGACAGTAGGTGGAGATAACATAGACGAGGAATTATAACAAGGATGCATTTTTGTGTAGCTTCAATCCAAATTCAATAGATTGAGCAGCATCTAAGGTTCACAGTTCTATGGCGATAACTAACATTCTTTACTTTGGACTGAATACTAAATAATGCAGAAAGTCAATAAGTTTTAAATAACAAAAGTATTTAGTCGTTCTTAAAAGTAGAGTAACCAGTACAGTACAAAGTAACTTCTTTAATCTCAAATCAATGTTAAAATAACTGTCAAAACTGAATGTCACCAAAATCCAAAACGACCAAGTGAGTAATACTGTGGTTACACCAAAGGTGTTAGACAAAGGTGTCATATCGGTTGATGCAGTTGTGAATTTTGATCGCGTAGAGTGGTTAGTACGTGTTACCCATCCATAAATACCGCTTACTTCAACCGACGGTGTTAGTTCATGTAGAAGCAAGTTGCGAGGAATTTCGGGGTGGTCAAACTAAAACATGCCATCATTCTATGAAGTTACTGACTCTTGGCCTGAGCCATGTTAGTAGATAGAGAATACCTAGTTGAGGTCAATACCACAACCACAATCAGTGATCAGAGTAGTGCGATGTTATTCAGAAAAGATTACAATGACCCAGAACCATTCAATCTTTGCCGTCCTCTCCATATTCAGTACCAGATCTAAAACATAATACCTCACCTTTAAACTGTCACACGTCGAAATGTGATATGAAATCAACTACAATAATAAAGTTATTACGCATAACACAACTAGAAAATCTGTATATAATGACATAGTTTTGCTTAAAGGGGCTGGTAAAAGGCGGACTGATCTGGAGTGAAGTGGTAACAAGCTTTTAGTACTGGACTTACTTAGGCATTATCGTATTTAGTTGTTTTTTTTCTTTGGTTAATCAATGACGGTTGCTACGGTAGTAAAAAAAACTATTAAAATTGAAACAGTACGACCTATTTGTCTACTATACAAGATTCAGTGAATTTTTCGTCAATATCAGTGAGTATTTTTAGTGGAGTTTTGCTCGCTCAGCTGGATGATTCGGTTGTGAAGTTTTGATAGGTCTTCTACACACCATCAGTACAAACTTCGGGTAGAAGTGCTGTATTCAAACTTCACGTTGTCCTGTAGAACTTGATCATTGTTAACCTTTATCCTTTCGTTGTCTGCATATATATTCTGGTGATCTCTCCATTTGACCGATTTTTTGATACCACATTTATCCATAGTCTTTTTCAAATTGGTTGATATATTGGGTTGACTTCAACTTAAATACTGATTGTTGATTGGCCTGAGTGCCAAACTTCTAAAAATCCTCTGATCTTCTTTGTACTCCTTTTATCAAAAACTTCAACATTATTACAGTCGATTGTGTTTCCATAATTATCTACGTGTATTGATTTGGGTGAAGATACATCACGGCGTTTGACAGCCAGATAGTTTTCATGCAGACGGAGATGAAGAGGTAGGCCATTTTATCTTGTGTACTGTTTCTCGCAGTTGGAACAATTTATTTTTTAGATAATGTTTCGTTTTTCTTTTGTTATTTCATTCTATGGCTTATGTGATATAGCCTAAAACGACCAACATACACTAAGCTCCTCATAAATATTCAAACAAATCAACGGAGTATTGGTTATTGTATGTTTAGAAGCTCAAATTAGGTCTGAGGAGGATGAGCATATCACAAACCTAACAACACCAGTGAACCAAATACTTGATTAATTAAACCAAGGGTAAATATGCGTCAGCAAGGAACAAAGTATGAATTTCTGTATGTTAGCAGTACAATATAGTTCAACAGGTATATTAAGGAGAATATAGTAAGCTCATTTTTGAACTGTTTGGTATTCTACGGAGGCTCATGAACCTATAGTTGGCTATTTTCCAAGTGTTATACATTTGATCTATTTCTAATACGTCCTCCGGTCTTTGAGGATTGCCTTAAATTTAAATGTGAACAACGCAGTCAAGAGAAAACTAGATAATTTGTATGGTAATCTACCTCAAAGGATGCTTGTATTAGCTTGTAATTAGTCTTATTTCAGAGGAAATTTGTTTGCGGTTACGCTTTACTAGTCCTGAAACCTATCTTTTTAATATTGTCTGATTGAATCTATGTACTTAGATTTGAGCAATGGTTTTAGACGCGGCAAGCACCGAACGACTTGTCAACAGAAAAAAATAAAAACAAACAATTGTGAACATCTATTTTAGACCTGGGACTTCAAGTGATCTAATTTTACAAATTTGTCGACATGAGTCGGTAAGAGTATAATATACAAACGATCTTAAGTTGACCAATCGAAACTAAGACAGTCCCTCAGTTATTACGCTTAAGGTTTAAAGTGCAGTGATGCACATACGTCTGAAACCTTACACTGTCAACCTCTTGTCTCGATTATCAGATTGTGTTAATTTCACGCTCGTGTCATTTCTGATTGTTATAAATTGCTTCCGATACTGAATGTAAGTGCATTCTATGTGCTTACTGAGTCGTCAGCTCATCATTTCCACTTGCTGCCCTCAACACTCCTCCAGCATACAAGGTAACTTTAGGCCAGACGCAAACCTACCAAAGACTGGACATTATGGTGATAGCCCTCAAATGCACTGGTACGGCCGAGAGTAGGGAGTCAGATCTCTCTCTCTCTCGAAATGCTCGCACATGACCATGCGTATACAACCACTGCCAGGGAATTCCTACTCACTACCTTCTTGCGAGGGAGTTTGGTTACGGAACTAAGAGAACGAAAAGTCAATGCCTGGCGCTCTAACCGGGTCGGTGGACACAAATCGTTCACCTAGAGGGGTTACAAAACCCTGACCTCAAACAAATAACGCAGATGGGCTCTACGACCCTAAGGGAACAAACAGCGTATGAACCTATTGTTGGTCACTGGCATCTCCTAACGTTACTCCACTGCCTTGTGGATCAGACCTCTAAGTCAAGGGCCCGGGGAGTTGCCCTTAAGGAAACTACCTCTTTCGGTTTGGGCGCCCGGGCAGTATTTCGGCGCTCACATGAATCGAATGACTTATGTGGCGTATATTTGTTTGTTGCCTCCTTGTACCATTGTTTGTGTTTAAACAAATAGATCGAAGTCGATAGCTGACGTGTTTTATATTATCAAGTAAGTGAGAATCAGCAGTATTTGAATGCTGTTAATTGGCCCCCAAAACGTTTGAAATCTATGGGACTACTTTTATATAGTGGCAAAGGGAATTTTAGATGGTGCTCAAGCTAAATTACGTGACATACCTGCTTTCAAGGCAGATTGTGTGTCTCGGTTCTTTATGTCATTCACTGCTTACTGAGATCAAAGCTGCCATCCTATCAATTTGCATTGCTAATTGTTTTACAACTAGTCAAAGCTTCTTGATTGGCTGATAAGTCACCCATGGTCGTCAGAATATTATTCTTTTACCCATAATTCTCCTACCGAACATATATAAGTTCATTCTGTTTAACCTAAATCAATGTAAAACATACTTTCGACCTAAGTGAAGTGTTCACATAAACAAATTACTTCGCTTATACCTCAAAACCTCAGTGTTACGAGAAACATACCTTTATCGGGTTGCCGGAAAAACGGCCTGCCGAAATGTAACTCACCTATTGTTACGTCCGCGTGAAAATCCTCAAAATTCAAACATTCAGTTTCAGTTTTGAAAAAACAGGAGGCCTAATGGCTTGTGTTAGTCCTGGCAATGGTGGTCTCTCAAATGATCCAACTTTCTTTTGAAAGAATCGACGAATGAAGCCTCAACCACGTGCTGAGGTAATGAATTCCACTCGTTGATGATTCGATGGGAAAGTCGATAGTCAGATGACAAGTAATTTGTTCTCGGCTTGTGAACTTTTTTGGAGTGTCCTCGTAAATTCTCTGTTTTGGAAGATGAAAAATGGGGGCATATTATATGCAAATTTATCACTAAGCAAGTTGAAAACTGTAATCAAGTTGCCTCTAGTTCTGCGACATGACAACGGAAAAAGGTTCAGCTTGGCCAGTCGAGATTCATACGGAAGCTTCGCTATTCCGGGAATCAGCTTAGTTGCCGTTCTCTGAACCTTTTCCAGAAGCTCACTGTCTTTTTTTAAGCAGGGGCTAGCCACTTGTATGCAGTACTCAAGTTTAGGACGAACGAACACTGTATACAAAGTCAAAAGCGTCTTAGCGTCGACATGACTAAAAGCCCTGTGTATTGACTATAACGTTCTAAAACCTTTAGCGGCTGTTACACGGCAGCGTCTTTAAGTCTTGACTAACTATAACTCCTAAGTCATTATATGTCTGGACGACAGGTACCTCAGTGTTATTCATCGTGTATGTATCTGTACCTTGATGACCGATATGCATCACAACACACTTGGAAGTATTTATCGGCAACTGCTAGGTTTGAGACCATTCAGATAATTTCTTCAGGTCATTTTGAAGTTCTAAGCTATCGCTCTTAAATCGTATCGTTCTCCATATCTTGACATCGTCAGCATATAGCAAGACCGATGATGATAGGAGACGAGGAAGGTCATTTACATACAAGAGGAATAGCACTGGCCCCAAAACTGTACACAGGGGCACTCCACTAAGCACAGTTCCCCAGCTAGATAACTTTGAGTTCACCCGAACTCTTTGTTGACGCCCAACTAAGAAGTCTTTTATCCACATCAATAAATTGCCTCCAATCCTGACTTTTCTTAACTTATATAACAGCCGGTTGTGCGGGTCTTTGTCAAACGCTTTGCTGAAATCAATGAAAGCTACGTCTACAGGTGAATTTCGGTCCTTAAGAGCGCACCAGCTTTCACGAGCCACTAATAAGTTAGTGAGACAAGAATAACCTATTCTGAAGCCATGCTGCTTTTCCGAGAGGATCCGGTTTTTATCGAGATACTTAAACAGCTCCTTCCGAATAATCTTTTCTAAGATCTTAACAACCACACTAGTTAGGCTAACGGGGCGGTAATTCTCAGGTTTGTGTTTCGTACCTGTTTTGAAGACTGGACATATTATGGCATTTTTTTCAATCTTTGGGTAAACGACCCTGCATTACGGATAGGTTAAAGCATATACATAAAGGGTTCTCAACGAAGTTAGATAATTCCTTCACTAACCTAGGATGTAATTCATCGTGCCCCGTGGATTTACCTATGTCAAGCTTATTTAGTAGGCCAATGGTAACGCTATCCAGTGTATGTGTGGGGGATCTGTATGCGCTGATGGGAAGGGTGCTTCTATGGTGTATACATTGCTGAAGTAGTTTGAGAACACTTGAGCCTTACCTAAGTCGTCCTCCACTAGTGACGCGGCAGTGCTGTCTCCCCATAGAGCAGGAATATTTCCTCTTCTCTTTGTCCTTTGGTTTATATAAGAATACAAGCGTTTAGGAAATTCTATGGATTCCTTAACAATCTTTTCTTCGTACAACTTTCTAGACTTACGGAGGGTCGAGGCACAGGTATTCCGGACTTTTCTATACTGGAATTTAGTTTCATCAGTTCCCAGTAACCTAAATCTATCCCAAATTTTTCTTCTATTACGGGGAAGGATATGGACCTCCCTACTGAACCATGGTGGGGAGTTTCTCGGCCACCTTGGTGTGGTCCAAGGGATGTGGAGTGTGTATGAATTTCGAAATGCGTCCCGGGTCGTTTCGACTGAGGACTCTGGGTCTATTGTCCAATCTACTAACGATGCTGAGTACATGATATCTGGTATATTTACTTTCCAGACGTTAGGTCTGGATTGGGCTGACGCGTGTTCGTGACTGACAGTTATATGGAAGTCGAAGATTAAAACTGCGTGATCACTTTCACCTAGGGCTGGCATATAATGAAGGTTAGCAGCGTCATCCTCAAAGTGAGTGAGTACCAGATCTAGTAAGGATGATTCAGTGTCCGGATCGTACCTAGTCGCTTTTTTCACATGTTGTACTAGAGCACATGTGATAACCGCATCAACCATTTCCTGCTCGAAGGAATTTTCTGACGGTTCAGTTCGCAGATTTTCCCAGTCTGCCATAGGTGCATTAAAGTCCCCTAGGATTAGACATCTACCACTTTGTGACCAAGTACTGAGACTGCTTAGCAAGACTTCAATTACCTCACAGCTCGGACTGCAATAGACCAAACCAATCGGCAACTCTTGTCCCTTGCATTTCAAGCGGAGACTAACTAATTCACACGTCCCACTCTCATGGGATACACTGTCGATAATGGCAAATGGGATAGCATTCCTAATGAATAGAGCTACTCCCCCTCCTTTACGCTTTTGTATTCTGTCGGCCCTTACTAACGTAAAACCCTCGAAATCAAGTTCCATACTATCTATAGCCTGTGTCAGCCAGATTTCTGTTACTGCGATTATGTCTGGCTTTGTAAAGTCAATCTGTACACCTAGTTCCGATCGCTTATTAAGTAAGCTCCGGGCATTAGTGTAGCAGATCCGAAGTTTATTTAAGTGGCTTAGTACTTCATCCAGAGTGACTTTGGCATCATTCTCTGTCAAAGTCTTACAACCCGAAAATTTACAATTTTTAGGTCCTTTTTGGCAGCGTCTAACCTAAGTTGTAGTTCTTTCTCGGCTTCCCGTCTTTTCACACGGTCTGCCAACGGTAAGTCCTTTCGTATAAAGACTCCTAAACCCTTTAATTTGTGTCCATTCTGTAAAATTAGGTCACGTTTATTCGAAGAGTTGGATACTACTTTAAGCAGTCTGGAATGATTTGGTTTCCAATCCGCTAGACTCCCTAGTCTGTACACCTTTAGCAAGGTGACCCTGGTGATATTTTGAGGCACGAGTTGATTAAGCAGCTGCTTTTTTTACACTGTCCGGTCATTCGAAAAAAGTCCTTTTGAAAAAGGAACGAGATGCGATGGTACTCAGAAACAAAAACATAATCAATGACCAAAAAAGTGAAGAACTGTAGATCGTTAGGACTAAAAGTACTAACAGATACAACGGAAAATGCGGTACTCGGAGTACCAACGACAAAACTAACTGAGAGAACGGTAAAAACAGTACTTTGGTCGAATATTTTAACTGAAATGAATTCAATTAAAGTGAAAAAAGTAGTCCTGATAAGTAATAAACGATCAAAACAATGAAGTTTACTCAGCGAGGAAAAATACCACCGTCCTTTCAGACTTGTATAGTAAAGACAGAAGGCCTATGGCTTATGTTATTCTTTTTCTAGTGTGCTTCTATGACTGTCCAGTTTTCTCTTGAAAGAGTCAATTGAAAGTGCGGACATCATTGCTTCGGGCATCAGGTTCCAAGTATTGATGACTCAGTGTGAAAATCTGTATGCCATGGGTAGTTTGTTCGTTTTTGACTTTTCTACTCGCCTGCTTTTTCCTCCGAGATTTCCCGATCAAGTGGGAAAAAGAAGACAGAATAAGTTAGATCCAAAATCATTTCTCAGTATTCTGTACATCAAAATCATATCTAACCTAAATCTGCGATAGGACAGAGTAAAGAGGCCTAGCTTTTCAAGCCGCTTCTTGCATGCTAAACCCCGGAGTTCTGGAATCGCACATGTAGCTAACCTCTGTACTTCTTCTAGGATATCCGAGTCACCTTTTAAGCAGGGTCTCGCAGCCCGAACGTAGTTCTCTAGCTTAGTTCTCACTGTAGATGTGTATACTGTGGTGAACATGGTAGTACCTAACTTAGTGAATGTCCGCTTTAAAGCACAGAGGGTTCGAAACTCCTTAGCTGCGACCTCCCGACAATGGGTAGTCGTCATAAGGTCACGACTTACTGTCACCCATAGATCCTCATGAAACCGAACCACGGTTAATGGCACTTCCTCCATGTTGTACCTATTGACGTTTGAATCCCCAAAGTGCATATAGACACACTTTGCAACTTTGATAGGCATCCACCACTAAGTACTGATCTCCAGATGGAGCACTTGGAATTTTTTGTTGAGCCTCTACTGAAATGGCTTGAAAATTTTCTGTTAGGTCGTGGACAGAAAGTATGCATAAATTCCAAGTACTCTACCTTGAATCCAGCACTTCGTGGAGCACTACAAGGTTCTGTCCTAGGTCCTTCACTTTTTCTACTGTATTTGAACGAACTCTCAATTATGGTTGAATCCATAATGTTACTGACCTGGTGAGAAATATCTGGAGGTGCAGATTTATGTCCTCTTTGGACACACTTAAGTATTGTGACTGGTTGGTTTCAGTGGTGGCTGATGCCTATCAACGCCGCGAAGTGCGTCTATATGCACTTTGGAAAAACAAAGGTAAATAGGAACAACATAGGGGAATTGCCTGTACCCGTGGTGTGGTTTCACGAGGATCATAGGGCGACAGTGAATTATGATCTTGCAATCACGACTCACTGCCACGGGGTTGCAGCTAAGAAGTTTGGAACCCTATGAGATTTAAGACGGACATTCAGCAAGTTAGATATTACTACTGCTTGAAAAGCTGATATACCTTTGTTGTGCGCATTGTGACCACTCTTCGCTGAGCGTGTTTGCTGGGTTAAATTACTTGCCAAAATACTGCTGGATATATACTTTTCTTCACGAATTAAGAACACAGAAGAATATTTACTGGTTTTATGTGACGTTTTTGAAAACAGGACTTTCAAGTGACAT